AGGCTGCGTGCTATCACCAACGCTGTTTCTTCTGCATATCAATGATATGTTGCAAGCCGGTAGCATTCATTGCTATGCAGATGATAGCACTGGTGATGCTCTCTACACCGGCCGTGCCAATATTTCTCGGGAAAACGTCACCGAGTACCGGAACAAACTTGTGTCTGAAGTCGAGTCTTTGCTGGACAAAGTCTCGGATTGGGGGCGACTAAGTCTAGTCCAGTTTAATCCTCAGAAGACACAAGTTTGCGCGTTTACCGCTAAAAAGAACCCCTTTGTCGTATCTCCTCAGTTTCAAGGTACTCCCCTTGTTGCCTCAGCCAGTATCGGAATCCTTGGCGTCGACATATCGAGTAGCGTGCAGTTTCGTGGTCACTTGGAAGAAAAGGCCAAATTGGCCTCTAAAAAGCTTGGCGTGCTCAGCAGAGCGGGACAGTATTTCATGCCGGCTCAACGCCTGCAACTTTACAAGGCGCAGGTTCGGCCTCACATGGAATACTGTTCCCATCTCTGGGCTGGGGCTCCCCAGTGCCAGCTTCTTCCACTTGACCGCATCCAGCGCAGAGCGGCTCGAATCGTCGACGACCGAGTCCTTTCCGATCGGCTTGACTCATTGGCACTGCGAAGAGATGTTGCATCTCTTAGCATTTTCTTTCGCATTTACCATGGGGAGTGCTCTGAGGAATTGTTCGGATTAATCCCAGCCGCCAAATTTCACGAACGCACATCGCGGCAGAACTCCCGATACCATCCACACCATCTGGATGATTGGCGGTCCACTACTGTGCGATTTAGAAGATGTTTTCTTCCTCGCACAACTTCCTTGTGGAATAGTTTACCACCAGCGATTTTTCCGGACCGATACGACTTAGGGACCTTCAAGAAAAGAGCCTACTCCTTTTTAAAAGGCCGGCAACGCATCTGCAATTCCCCTGGTGTTGCGGTTGTTCATGGGCGGCGGTAGTCACTTACCATCAGGTGAGCCGCATGCTCGTTTGCCCCCTCTCCTATTAAAAAAAAATGTTGTTTTCCTCCAGCCTTCTAGCAACAATCGAGATGCAGTCTTCAACAGGTAAGCATGTGAACAGAAACTGCACATCAAAACTGACCATAGTTTCATTGTCCGCCAGATGTAGGTCTTTAATCTCGCTTACGAAATGGTAGGAATCATTTGTGTATGCTCTTGTATGTCCCTTGAGCGGTGAGAGTATTTTCGCTAAGTGTTGAGCCAATCTGTAAGTTGGTGAATCGATTTGGCTCACTGTGGGACGTAGTGGAGCATCGGGCTTATTTGTTTATGAGGTCACTATCGTCATCATCATCATTACAGCCTTTCATAAGTATACTGCTGAACATAGGCCTCCCCCAAGGAATGCCACAAAGCACGGTCCTGAGCCACCTGCATCCATCGACTTCCTGCATGTCTTACCAGGTCGTCACTACATCTAGTGAGGGGTCGCCCTAAACCTCGCCTACCGGTACGAGGCTGCCACTCGAGAACCTTTCTTCCCAATCGGTTATCGGTTCTTCGAGCTATATGGCCGGTCCACTGCCATTTCAGGTTACTAATCCGTTGGGCTATGTCGGTTACTCTGGTTCTACTGCGGATAACCTTATTTCTAAATTTATCACGCAGAGAAACCCCGAGCATAGCCCTCTCAATAGCTCGCTGAGCGACCTTGAGCTTCACGTAAAGTTGTAGCCTATTTACGTCTCACTGCTGGGCACAGGCCTTCTCTCATTACTGAGAGGGTTTTAGGGCAAGGAAATGTCCGCCGCGCTGTCCCAGTGCGTGTTGGCGAACTTCACATGTCTTTGAAATATTTTTTTTCTTATTTCTCAAACATGCAGGTTTCCTCACGATGTTTTCCTTTACCACCGAGCACGTGCTAAATCACCACTTGAAATTACAATTAACAATTTCATTGGTGCCGGCGGGGATAGAACCCGGGTTGCTCGCGTACTATGAAGCTTACAGCGAGCGCTGACCATCTGAGCTACCACGGCTCTTTTAAGTATTTAGTTGAATATACAAACAACATTATATTTACAGGTGCAACAGAACCGACAAAAAAAAATTATACAAATTGGATCAGTTAGCTTTGGAGTCAGGACACGCAGTGATTCGCTTACCACCTTACCATTGCCAATATAACCCAATTGAGCTGGTATGGGCTCAAGCAAAAAATGAAATTGCCACTAAAACAGCACTTTTAAAATTGCAGACGTCGAAGTGTTACTGCATGAAGCTATTTCAAACGTTTCGCAAAAGAACTGGGAAGATTGTGTGAAGTATGCAGAAAACCTCCAAGAGGAAGACTTGAAGAAATCTCATCTGGCAGAAGATATTGTAATTCATGTGGATGACAATGACTCTGATGATTCTGATGTAGATTTAGAATTTTATTATAAATAGTTTTAGATTTAATTTTAGATATAAGTTTTTTTTTTATTTAAAAAAGTTACCCCCATACTAGGATTTTCTCCTGTGTCGTGGAGGCAGTTTACAAACATAAATTGCACAAGGACAAACATCCAGACCCTTATCTTTATATTTATATTTATTTTTAATATAACTTGTTACATTCCAAACATTTGTACTAATAGTTTTTTAATACATAGATACCTAATTCATAATTTATTTTAAATTATTATTATTCTTATTTTAATAAATACATTGTTTTATCTATTATTTTTTTTCATTTTTATCACTAACCCACATAATGACAAAATTAAATACACTATCGATAACGCTTATCGACAACAATAATGCGCATCACTATGCTCGCCCCTAAGGCCCGCGAGTGGGAGAGAGAGCGAAATACTCCGATAATTTATGACCCAAACTGCACGGACAAAATAATTCTAGTAAAGTTGTTTTAAGTGTATAATTTGTTGGGTCGTTTTTAACCTTTTATAAGTGCTTACATCCGACAAAAGTTCTTGTATTTTAGAATTATAATCCGACGTATCCATGACTATCGTGGCATTTCCCTTATCTGCGCGGAGAATTGTGATTTCTAGTTTATTGCGTAGGTTATTCAACGCTTTAAATTAATCTTTAGGTAGATTCAGTTTGGGCGCTGAACTTCGACGTAACATAGACGAAATATCTTGACGTATCGCTTCCAAATCTTCCTTTCGCATATTATTTTTAAATAAACAGGCCTGGACACTGCAGATAATTTTTTGACCTCGGTCCCCCCGTGACCATGGGTGCTGTAAAGTGCTCGAAACGTCGTGAATATAAAATAAGTTAATATACGCGATAAAATCCGTAAAATTAGTTTTATTATAATATTGTTGATTTTGTTTGTTAATTTATAAATTATATAATATTTGTATAAAATATTTACATGCCTGTGAGACATGAGTAACCATTTTTTAAATTTTTGTTTGTCTGTCTGTTTGTCCGAGCTAATCTTTGGATTGACTAAACATTTGTAATATATATTCATTAACAAATAAAGTAATACTAGGAGTGATCTAGACTAAATTTTATCCGAAAAATTGTGAAATTTTTATAAATTAAAGTCTAAATAACGCCACATTAATAGAGCCTACCCAAGCGAAGCCAGGACGTGTCGCTAGTTACAAATGTTATTTTAAAATTAATTTTCCTACCTGTTTGAGTACACAAATCTTTTCAAATATTTTCCCATTAATAGAAAATTTCTAAATAACCGAATAATATAACGATATAACGTCATTAGCAAGTTTTCGCTATTGTTACTGTTCATGTTGATGGTACGTGCCCGACGAGCGGCCATTTCTAATCCCGTTAAGGTGGCTACTGACCTGCCTGCCGCAGGTGCAATCTAGTGGCAGCCATACACGATCAAGTCTACCGTCAAATTTGCAGCGCGCTTGAAGCGGCGTCCGGTAAACTTGACGGTGTATGGCTATGGGTGTGCATGACAAGTCTACTTGAAGCAAAAATTGAATTTCGATTCTGCCGACTTGATCAAGCGTGCAGCGTCATGTAAACTTGAACGTGTGTATGAGACGTCAAGTATGCATGACGTTAGTCGGCCTCGGTAAGCGAAGACGCGCGCACGCGGTATATAGTAGAATACACCGAAGTGTTATGCAATGTATAAATATTTTTTTTTATTTTGTTAAAAAAACGTTACCTACACACTAGGGTTTTCTCTTGTATCGTGGAGGCAGTTAACAAACATAAATTGCACGAGGACAAACCTCTACACATAAACAAATACAAATACTTGTTCCGTGCGGGATTCGAACCCGCGTCCCCAGCATTGCAACTCATTGCTAAAAAACTTTATTGTTCAATGTGAGGAAGGTTAATATGCAACATCGAGGAAAATTAATATTATAACAACGTGAACGTTTTTGAAACTCAGATAATTTACCTACTTACCAATTTAACCTACTTCAAAAAAGGAGGAGGTACTCAATTCGACTGTTTTTTTAATGTGTAACCTCAGAACTTTTTTCTAGGTGAATCGATTCTGATGATTCTATTTTATTTGAAAGCTGGTGCTTATAATTTAAACATCACATATAAATTTGATCAAGATCTGACTAGTACTTTTGAAATTATCCGTAATATAATGCGTATTCGTATTGAAGTCAGTTGTTAAAAAATTTTAATTTCAGTAGTTGTCTCTCTTCCTCTCTTTTAAAAAAACGTTACTTCCACACTCGGATTTTCTTCTGTATTGCAGGGACAGTTTCATACATAGAACAGACCCAGAACAATTATTTGTAGGTCATACAAATACTTGTTACGTCCGGGATGCGAACCCGCGGCTCTTAGCGCTGCAACTCATTACTAAGCCACTGCGCTTCGGAGCCGTCACTTGTCTGTTTCACATTTTTGCTCTTTACTATTGAGATAATATTTTTCGTTTCATTAACCAGGTTTTGCAAAGTAATTGCGAGCAATAAGCCTAGGATGGCTAACGAATCGTCGTCCGTCACTAGTGACGCCATGGTTTCAACTGATGCGGCATCATGCGAACTTGACGGCGAACTTGAACGTGTGTGGCCTCTATCGATGCACTGCAAACTTGACGCCGCTTCAAGCGCGCTGCAAACTTGACGGTAAACTTGATCGTGTATGGCATCCAGCAGGAAGCACCGCTATCGGAGCAATATCGGAGCTGTCTCTACACACACGCCTGCCGTTCAGTATGAGAGTGTACGTAACAGAGTACCTTTATATTGGTGTACGTCTCGCTGGACGCACGCGTTTTAAATGACGCCAGTTTTATCGAAATATCAATGAATCAGTATATATAGCCTTGGCTCTTTTTTATATAGAATAAGGGTGACAAATGAGCACCGTCCACCTGATGGTAAGTGGACACTATGGCCTATAGACACCCACATTTATCAATAAAACAACCAATTAATTAATAATTACAACCATAATATAGTGCTTAGAAGCTGCAGCATAGCTCTGCCACGCTATTTTTAGGCTATCAAATACATTTAAATATGACTAACATTACTCGTCATAATTTAAGTAATTAAGTAAAATAAAGTTAATTTATATCACAGAACAAATTGGTTATATAACAATTTGTTCTGTGATATAACTTAACTATCTAGTGCTTAGTAACTATAATTTAACTAGTGTTACAAATAGCCAGGATAGTTATCTAATGACGGTTTTAATAAAATTTATTTACTAAAATTTGTATTTTTGTTTAAATATTTATTTAATGACATTTTATTTACATTCCAGCAATTTTAATATTATTGGAATATTTACTTTCCCATACTAGCCCGTATGATAAGTTAGGTAACAAATCCCAGTAATGTTACTTGTAAGTTACAACATTCAAATAACGTTCTTTCTGCGGTTCTGACTTGTACTCATACGTGTGCTCCTCGCGAAAGTCGCAACGAACTGAATTTCCTATATAAAAAAGTACTCTGTGGAACTGAACGAAATTGGCCCAATTGCGCTACACACGCAACAGCGGCAGGGCTTTCAGTATATAAAAAGTACTCTGTGGGCAGGGCCGATCTAGGGAGCAAGAAAGGTCTTTTTTTTTTTGGAGTTTATGGCCTGGTATCTAGACCTTTAGGCCAAGTCTTAAGTATTTTTATTCGGTTTATTGCAATTTCTCCACACCTTCATAATATACTGCTTCACAATATGTTGATGCGTCACATTGTGCAGTTCTTGGGAGATTTTGGCGGCAACTTGATCCAGCAGACAGCTGATAGTTGGCGATGGTATCTAAAGGTGCCTATGCAAACAAACAGCTTATCTTGAGAATCCATCACCATCAGAGCACTTGTTTCACTGTTTCCACTAATAGTTCACATGCGTAGACACTTAATACACAAAATCGCAACACTTTTACGTATCAAAGTCCACTTCAAACCATTATTTAAACAATAATACAGGAGCAGCAAACCGCCGCCGGTCAATTTCCCGCCAAAACTCCAAGAAAGGTCTTGCGCTCCTGCAGTGTTGCAAAAGTGAAAAATAAAAAATCGGTAGATTTGCCAGCTAAAAATCTGGAGAAATCGGGAGATTTTTATTTACATCCATGGGTTTAGAAATGTATCATAAAACGTTCTTTTAGATGTCGTTCTTTTTCGTTTTTTTTTTTTGCGATCAAAATAATGTCTTTATAATTTAAACTAAAATTTTATGATTAGGTATATATTTTTCTACTCACGCTTCTCCAAAATTCTTCTGTTTCTTCACTGAGTGATTTAATTTCTTTCGTATTTAGAAGCAAACGCCATTCTAAATTAATTTTTTGATAACTAATTAAAGCACAACAGTTCCCAACAAAACAGAAGAAGGCTAGTAATTAGTGAATGTAATTCTATGAACGAACAACACTATATATACATGGCCTAACCTACCTAATTCGTAAAACAACACTAACAAAGTAATCTTTAGGGATTTCCCCCGTACACTTACCAGACAATAATGAACTCTATTTTAAGATGTATCAGTGCAATATGCTTTAACCATACCGCGAAGTTAAAAACCTAATGATGTTATAGGTATAGGTCCCATAGGACGTGGTGCGAGCAATTTCGGGAAGTCCCCGTACATAGGATTTTGTGTTAAAAGTTCATTTTAGTATTTTGATTATTACTTTTCAATTTTATTTATGATTATTATTTTACATTAGTTGAAAATGTAAAAAAAATCGGGAGATACGTTCGCTAAATCGGGATATCGGGAGATACTAATGAAAATCAGTATATCTCCCGATAAATCGGGAACTTTTGCAACACTGCGCTCCTGACGCCCTGTTGCAGGGCCGACTTAAAAAATTGCCCCTGCTTGCCTACACACATCACAATTAAGGAGGCAATTAAGGGGTCATCCCCACTCCTACACCCTAGATTGCCCCTGCTGCAGGTAGGTCAGTAACCACCTTTATAACTGTACTAACTTTAAAAAAAACTGCGGATCTGTAGGGGCTTTCCGTTAAAGTTATTGCGTCTATGATTTTTAATACTAGTATCGAATATGGTGTATTTCCTGATTTAATGAAGCATAGTAAAGTAATATCTTTATTTAAATCTGGTAGTATATCAGGCCACGCCAATTTTAGACCTATTTCTCTACTACCTTTATAACCTTAGAGTATTAAGCAAGCTGTTCATACTTATATAGCTTGCTTTATTATACTCTAAGTTTGTAACCGTAAACCTTTGCTCTTTGCACTAAGCTCTGCCTAGATTAGATGTCAGTAGTTTCATAAGATTATGTTTTAATGATTTTTCATATGTTCTTAATCTTTAGGGTACAATAAAGATATTATTATTATTGTATGACGCATCAGCATATTATAAAGAGTTTTGTAAACAAAATACAAATCTGAGTAGGCTGTATGGTCTAATAACTTTGTCTGCCTTAATTGGGGAATTGTCACAGCTTAAAACACTGGTGCCAGATTTTGGGGAATCCCCCCAAATTTGGTTTTTTTTTATGGTTATGGGGAAGAATTGGAGGAATAATATTTTAAGTTTGGAGGAAATTGGGAAAATGTTATTACCAAAAGTGTAATCTAGAAAAAGCCATGATAATTAAAAATATCTGTAAAAGTATACACAATGCTGCACACGACAATAGCCTAGTGGCTTCGAAGTTGGTTCAAATTAAATAGTTATAATCATAGATTTAGTATAAACTGCCGTTAGAATAGATTTGGAATAAGGTTGAAAATAATAAATTGACAAGGATGGGTTTGGGAAAAGAAAATATTCACCTATATACAGCAAGTACTTTGAAGAAAAAAAATTCTCATTGAGGTGCCCACCGTGTAGTGGTGAACAAGCGACAGAGGAGGGAAACAAATCAGGAGATAGGCAGCAACGTCTTTCCAGTAACAACTAAAAATAAATAAACTATGGTTGCCAACCCACTTTCCAAGCGTTGCAACTATGGCAAATATTCCCCTTATGAGACAATCTCTGGGGGCGGCCTATGTTAAACAGTGGGCTTTAATAGGCTGTAACAGTAACATAGAGGCGCATTGAGGGAAAAACTATAACCCATCCAACCATAAACACTTATTAAATAAATTACATATTGAAACTCATTTTATTATTAGGATCAGAATAAAGTATGTAGCAAAGTTGCAAATTATCTTTTAGGAGAGCTCACAACATTTTTACAATAAATTAGTTCTAATTTACATCGTAATCTTGTTTAATATCTTTTTAGTTCACGGAACCTATAGCAGTTTGGTTTTAGTTATTAACATTTAATTTATATACACATAATAACAGGATTTTTTTTTATATGAACAGCATTTCTTTTATCAATTTATATTAACAATTTTTAAATTAATATATGAACCGAGTGGTAGTTTTTAGTTTTAGTTTTTCTTTATTATTGTTTTTTTAATATTGTATGTATTTCAATGTTTCATTATATGTCCGCAATAAGCCGACATGTTAGTTTTTATGTAACTTCTTGGAGCTTAAAACCCGCGAAAGAGCACAATGCTTTTAAAGATATCTAATTTGTCAATATAATGTAGGTACGTACACAAAAATAAAATCCCAGATCATATACAAAAATTGACCTGCTATACATTCAAAAACTACTAAAATAAGTTTGTAAAAAGGGTTATTATAATAATAAGAAATTCATGGATGATAATAAACCCTGGGAATGAGGTGATTGCTACCAAGCTATTTCTAATTTGTTTTGTACTGTTAATTGTGTAACATACATGATTATAAGCTGTTATTTGTGTGTTTAAAAAATTTCCGCTTGGTTTCTTGCTGGTTCTTTCCAAGACTGAGGTATTTTCCGAACCAGTGGTAATTAAACAAAAGAGTAATTTTTAATAAGTATTATTTATAATCTATATGGAAAAAATATTTCTGTTTCTGTTTCGAATTTACGATGAGTAGTTTAAAAAGGTCTGAGATACATACATAGCCTTCAAAAGTGTAATCATCCATTTGGCTTCGCCGAAGTTGGGTACAAATATTCACTTACATCATCGGCGTCAAACCAGAAGACACGAATATACTGCGATTGGTGTTGATAACTGAAGTTGAAGCAGGCAGTGCTGGACCAGCACTATTTGTCACTCACGCATTCACATTACACGCCCACTTGTGAATTTTGATTTTGGTCTCGTAGTAATCACTCCATCGCCAATCTATACTATACTATACCTATGCTAATAATTTTCTCGCAGACGCAACACACTGAAAAGTTCTGGGTTGAAGTTTATAATTATTTCAAAAATGCAGTCGGTGATAAAACTTACGGACATGTTAGCAAATTGGCATTAGCAATTTTGTCCTTACCGTTTTTTAATGCAGTTTTGAAAAGAGTTTCACCTTCTACCAAGTAACTATTATTAAAGACAAACTTCGATACAGATTGACCATCCATACTGCTGAATCCATCTTGAGCATAAGATATACATTGCTGAAAGGCTGTTTTCATTTTAAACCAAGTTCAAAGATGCTAAGGAGATTTAACTCAGAATAAACGTATGGAACAGACGACGCGTGCAAATATGCTGATCCAGTAATGGAAACTATTGATGAAATAGTATAAAATTGTATTTCATTCATTAATAAATAAATATTCTGCATTTTGTGAGAGTTTTCTGAAGTGAAAACTTCTTTAGCCGCGGTGAACGATTTTTTAGGTTTTTTTGGTAGGGGAAAAGTTACGTATTCGCGTCACCGATGACCTCGACATGGCGTTGTGCGCTTGCGTCAGACTAGCGACGCGTAGTAAGCTAGTAAGGCGGCCTATGTACATGTATACGCATATATACACTAATAAATTGTGTAGACTGTATCGTATGCGTTTGACTTTTTGAATTGGTAAAAATCTTGTGATTTCGCGTCACCGACATGCTGTAATAGCAGTAAGTGAAGTTATGTTGACCACTTGAAAAGTTTATTTTGTGTGTACTGTGCATAGTTTTAACGATGTTTTCGATAAACATTGTTTGAATTAATTAATTGTAGTATCACTATTTGAGTCACAAAAGTGAGAGCTTAATATACTTATATATTTATCTTGAAAAATAAATGAAAAAAAAAGTATTTACTGGCGAATACTTCCAGGATTGTTATTGATATTTGCGTTGAAAAAAGTTTTCAATTCCGACGTGCAGTTTTTTTTCTTCATAACCTGAATTTTGGGGCTATTTTGTGATAGATTTGGGAAGAACGCGAGACGGCCATCTGGCAACATTGACTCAAAGTAGGGGTGTCCACTTTGAAAATACATCGATGTTTTTTTCGATGTGATGCATCGAGACTGTGCATCTATATATATCGATGCATCGGTTAGAAACATCGATGTTTTTGCAACATCGAGTACTTTTTATGACTACATTATAAATCTGTAGTCAACTTCCTGACAACCCATTAAAACAACCAACAATTTTGAATGATCTACTCTTACATCTGCACTGTCTTTGTCCACATGCCTTGTGTGTGTGTGTGTGTGTGTGTGTGTGTGTGTGTGTGTTCAAGGATGTTAGACAGTTAGATAGATATTAATAGTCCTTATCCAAAATATATATAAATATAAATAGTTTTGTTCGTTTTGTGTGGTGTCACGCGGAAAGACCGTGTACGGAATACATACATCCGCAGCAGCCTCCAATGTCCGTGACATTGCTGACAAGCTGCAGGAAAGTCGCCTCCGCTGGTACGGCCTCGTCTTACGACGACCAGCAAGCTACGTGGGAAACAAATGCCTGGACATGACCTTATCTGGTACCAGGAGTAGAGGACGGCCCAAGAAACGCTGGCTTGATGACATGCGCGCCAATGGGCTAGTTGTGAGGGACGCCGAAGACCGGGCAAAGTGGAGGAGGATGTATTGGAAAGCGGACCCTGGGTTCTCCCGCGCTGGGCGGGATGAGCAACCGATATAAACGCTAGGTAAAAGAAGAAGAAGAGGAGTTTTGCTCGTTTTGTGATACAGTAGAGTAGAGCACACAGATTTTACGTGGTAGAGCCATGCTGCAGCTATATTAGTAGTATAGTTGTAGCACGAATGGTTCGGCTCGACCGGGGTAGGACCACGCTCTCACAGAATACCAGCATAAAATAGCAGCTTAACACTGCTGTGATTCGTATGGTGAGTGTAGAGAACTGGAGACTCTTTTTACTGGAAAAGAGGCATTCCATCTTAGTCCTCACGGGTGACAACGCATCTGCATTTTGATTCGCAAACGAGGATAGATGTAGATGTCTATGGGCCGCAGCAACCACTTACCATCAGGTGGACTGTGTGCTCGTTTGTCACCTTATCCTATAAAAAAAAACAGTACGGTATTTTGGAGTGTATTATCGCTCGACAAAATGAAGACTGACGCGCAATTGGAACTCCTTTTGCATTTTGGAACTCTTTTGACTCGGACACTTGAGCGCGGAGCCGAGTTCCATTTAGTAGTAGGTCAATGTTTATGATATTATTTTAAATTATTTTAATAGAAAACAAAGCATGCATCAAAATAAAAATACTTACATATGGAATATAACTCCATCTTTTTGTAAATTTTAAGTATTTTAACTGCTTTATGTACACGTTAACCACACCGATCGCCATTTTTTAAAGAGCACCTATTTCGGCCGAAACGATTCTTGTAATGATAAAATCGATTTCGTAAACAGTTTTTATAAACACACAAGCTTTTAAATCCAATACCTTTGCAGAGGGGAATAATTATGCGAGATGAGTCCACTAGGTTAAATGGTTTAAAGGCGGCTACTCACTTGCCTGCCGCAGTGGCAATCTATGGTGTAGGAGTGGGGATGACCCTTAATTGCCTCCTTAATTGTGATGTGTGTATGAAAGCAGGGGCAATTTTCTAAGTCGGCCCTGCAGAGTGACATGGGCGTAAGACCTTCCTTGCTGCCTAGATCATAGCTACCGCTGTCAGGTGTGTAACGCAATTGGTGCAATTTCAAGCAGTTCGTTAGCGACTTTCGCACGCAGCACACGTCATAATGGATACCAATAAAATAAAAAAAAGTGTACAAAGAGCGGCTTCTTCACCCAGTATCTCCTTTTTGTCTTTTTTTTTGCGGTAGCACCGCAGAAAGAACGTTGTTTGAACGTCGTAACGTTTTTAAACGTCGTAGAGTCATACTGCAGCTTTTAAGGACTGTGTTATGGGTGTAATTATTAATTAATTAATTAGTTGTTTATCAATAAATATGGGTGTCTGTAGGCCACAGTATCCACTTAACATCAGGTGGACTGTGCTCATTCTTCACCCTTATTCTATATAAAAAAGAGCGATGGCTGTATTTACTGATTCATTTATATTTTGATAAAGCTTCTCAACGCGTGTGTCCAACGAGACGTACACCCTCACATAGAATGGCAGGCATGTGTGTAGAGACAGTTCTGATATTGCCCCGATCGCTGTTCATCCTAGGTCTTGGGGCGGCTACTCACTTTCGTGCCGCAGGGGCACGAAACTGAGTAGCTGCTCCAAGAACGAGACAGACCAGACGATTCTCTTTAATATACAACCAGCCAATCTCCATTTCTTGATTCCGCTAAGGGACAGCTGCTAACTAGCGCCACCAACAGGTTTAAATATTATAACTTCTAAATCATATTATGTTTTAGTTTTTCTCATTAAAAGTTATAATATTAATAGTGATAGATAAGTATACCTTTTTACAATTGACTCGTTATGATTGATTCGATGTTTTATAAAAATACATTGATACATCGAGTATATCAATAACTTTCCAAAACAGTGGATCGATTCGATGTATCGTATTGTAAACATCGAGTGAATTCGATGTATCGATATATATATCCCTAACTCAAAATTTTAAATTTTTTTTAAATTCTATCATGGCCGTTCGTTATTGTTACAAGAAATAAAGTTAGAGAATAACGGCGTATTTCTGAAAATTATCTCACTTTAATACACCTTAATATTTAATAAATGTGACAAAAAATTATTACAATGAGTGCTAATATAAAGAAAAGTTGTCCGAACTGTAGTCAACTATTTTGCTTTAAGTGTAAGTGTAATGTTATTGTAACTACCCTTCTCATGTTGTTATTTTAAATAATTATCTAATTTCTATTGTGTATTTATTTGATTTTATTCCACAGCGTTATCTTCAAAACAGAGCAACGACAACATACCTCTTTTTTTAAAATGCGGTCATTCTATGTGTGAAAATTGTATTAAAAACTTAGTGAAGTTTGGCGAACCCATCGAATGCAAAGTGTGCCATAGCGACATGGAAATAGCCGCTAATGATCTAGCATTATTGTTGCAAAATAAAATTAAACTGCATCAATTATTTCCTGTCAATGTTTATATGCTCGGGGAACTCTCGCTTGAATTCTTAGAGGTAATATATTAAGCTTGCTTGAGTTTTCTTATAATTTTTCCTTAACATATTGTCCCATCAGATCAAACCTTATAAATCTCGCTCAACTTTACAAGACCTACAATCGATTTGAAGGTTCAAACTTATAAGGGTAATAGAACTTGTCTTTGTTAGGTTTCGTGAATATTTATATTTGAATTTATGTAATAAATTCGTTACAATTCTTTAAATTTGTAATTGCATTGTGAACTCACATTAAGAATAGCAACCCCAACTCAGAACTTTCAAATTACTGTTCGAACTGTGTTACTGTTTCAAGACTATTGTTCTATGTTTCTGATATACATGTACAAAGATTCAGCTCTCAGAAATTTGATATTTTGCATAACAAAATATCAAATTTTCTTCATTAGACATGGTTGTTTGACTTTAGACATTGCATTTTGTTTATGAAAGTTGTGTTGGGGTTTTTAAAATTTAATTATTCTTATTTTAATACTTTGCAATTTAAATAACTGAAGGTGGCTACTCACATGCCTGCAGCATGAGAAATCTAGGATGTACAGCGATCGCATCAATATCAGAATTGTCTCTACACATATTAACCTGTTCAAAATTAATTTTGACCAACACAGTCAAAATTATTTTTGATAAAGAACTTTGGGCAAAGTAGTTTTGATTGAAAAAATATTAGTTTTAAGAAATTTTTGTAATATGCCTAAAGCACAGCGCCCACCTAAGTAACGTAACGCGTGATCTGATGCGTGATTTGATGCGTAACTTGTCACTCGCCTCAACTTTCAAAGAGATTGTATGTAGTAGCGCCCATTAGCGTGGCGTGATGCTGCATGACCTGACGTGCCATTCAGCTTGCTACTAGTGACGCATTGAAGTGGCACGTAACACGTAACTTGCAGTGACTTGTCTATACAAAATGAAAGACGACCTAGCTTTTTTCTTTTCATGAAAGGCCATGTATACAATATGATTGTTCTAGACCCGATTACTTTAACAGGAATTCGCAAGATACTTCTTGCAACTTATAGTGACTTGCCTATGCAAAAATATAATTCTAATCCCTTCACAGCATTGAAAATACCACCACCTTTCAATTTTTTTCCTCAAAGCATGTACCCGAAATCTTTTGCTGGCACTTGGAATGTTTGAAATCTGTAGCATAGCAAGGGCATGTTTATCTTCTTCAGACGATATTTTGGTTGAAACTGAATTCTGCGATATGCTATTGTTGCACAGGTTGGCGCAAGCAGTGTCACCCGTGGTCACGTCAGAGTATCATCAGAATCATGCTACAAGCCATGTCGAAATCATGTAGCTTAGGTTAAACTTTTGACCTAGAGTATTTATTAATAAAAAGTGTTTGATATTTTTTCAAAACATTTATTATAATATATTAATTTTATGACAAACTAATTTTTTCTAAACTTTGTAAGTTAGCATAACTGGACCAGAGATATCTACTCGACTCTGTTGGGAAAAGTAATATCAGTGGTAGTAGGTTGAGTTGTAGCTGTAAAACCGCAAATATCTGGTTCATCCTACCAGGCTTAGGAAAAACTTCTTCTAAAATTGGGTTTTGCACTCCATGCTCCCTCTCCCCCCGCCCCTTCCATTGCTGTGTGTATATGACAATTTATCATGATATTAGCAACATACTAAACAACAACACAACCCTTAAACTTGGGTAAGTTTAACACTTTCACTGTCTGGTTTTCAGACACAATAGTAAGAAAATAGCAATGACCTATATGTAGTGCATGGGACAGCGGAAGGGTTATCCTAAAACTAATGTTTTAATTTAATGTAGACCATACTACAGATTTCGACACTGTGAAGTTCAAGTTTAATGTCGAGATTGTCCCTAAAGGAGACAATCGTTTTTAGGCCCACTAGAAACTTTAACGTAACTTAATTTTTACATAAAAAAGATACTAATTTATTATAGTAAACAGCATAAAGATTTTATGAAAATGTAACTGAAATCATAAAATCTGAAAAAATGGGTATAAAGAAAAACAAACTTCTAACAAAATTTTCCATCAACCTTAAAGTACCTATAAATGTTGTATATACCTACAACTTTCTTTTATACTATTAGTTATTGACCAGTGCACTTTTTTAACTTATAATACCAGTTAAAACTACTACACAATCGCTTTTAGTTTGTTTTTAGGTTTTTTTCTTTCTTTTTTTTATGGCGGTTTTTAATTATTCGCCAATGTCAGCGTGGAAGTGTTTATTGAGTACAAGCTCAGTAGTTACAAATACTATGCCCATGTACTAAAGAAGATTGTGATAATACAAGTATCTTATTTTCTTTAAACAATTAAATTTTCCCTTTTTATCTTGTAGTACTAGTGGTTGTACTGTTGAATTACCTAGAACAAATGACAAACACAGTTACTATAACTACATTAGTATATTAGTATTGACAAACATTAAACTTTTATACTATTAGTGTTAATAAAATCACACAGAATATATACATAAGGAGTATTTGTGTAGGTTAAAAGTGAATCAAAATTTATAGGACGAGGGATGTCAGGATGGAGATGATCATAGAGTGAACAAGATAATTTAGGACAGTTAAAAAAAATATGGTCTGAGATTCCCTCATCTAACCCACATTCGCAGAGGGAACTATCCCTAATCCTCAGTTTGGCTAAATGATAAATAAAATTTGGATAAATGTACAAGCATGGCCAATTCTAAGTCTACAAATAGTTGATGTTGACTGTTTGTTAGCTTTATTAAATTTGAATAAACCATGGTTTTGGAGGGATGGCACATTGTATAGCAGCATAGTGTTTACCTTTTATATTTTGAGTGGCTTTCCATAATGTGTTCCAATTATTACTTAACTTCTTCTTTGCAAGTAACACTATGTCTGAAGAGTAAATTAAATTACATGGCAAACCATTTCGACTTGCATTTTTAGCCATCAGATCAGCTGTTTCATTGCCCTTAATGCCACTATGACTTGGAATCCAAGCTAAGGAAACCTGAATGCCCTTGAGATGACATCTATACAATGTGTGTTTAATTTTGAGGATCAAGGGTAACTTATATTTACTTTGGAACTAGTTTGACAAAATTGCTAACAAACAGCTTTTGGAGTCGGTAAGAATAACTGACTTATTTAAGTTGTGTGCTTCTATATAAATCAAAGCTTCATAAATTGCCGTGTCCTCGCCAGTAAAAGTGGAAGAAATAGAAGGGCATTTAAAATTGAGGATTATTTTGTATCTGGGAATCCAAACTGCTGCTCCAGTGCAACTTTCACCTGACTTTTTGGAGGCATCAGTGAATATAATAAGCCAGCCTTTCCATAAATTATCTATGACTACTTAGTTTACTATTTGCTATAGGGCAATCTTTCTCAATACCAAGGTCGAGGTGGATATTTGGTTGGAAAATAATTGCACCATATGGGATATCAAAGATGGGACAGGACTTGCATTGTGATACTGGGTGTGGTAGATGGAGTAATGTTACCAAACTGTTGGATAAGCAGGGAGATTCTTTATGAGTCCAGTAATGCTTTGTTGAAATATATTCCAAAAGAAGGTGTAATTTAGAAATGAGAGGATGTGAAGAGAGTTGATAGATTCTAAAAAAGAATCGGTCCGAAAGATATTGTCTTCTTAGGTAAAGAGGGGGATCTACATATTCGACTTGGAGAGCATTTATTGGGGAAGATTTCATTGCCCCAATGATTATACGAAGGCTTTTTGTCTGAATCCTTTCTAGGATCTTTAGGGAAGACTTATTACATGGTTCCAAGACAAAGCACGCATAATCCAAATGACTACTAATAAGGGCGTTGTACAATATTTTTTGAGAGAATGGATGGGAGCCCCACCAAACTCCCGATAACGCGCGAAGAATATTTATATTTTTTTCACATTTTTTTGAGACATAGTTGATATGATGAGAAAAGGTTAGTTTGGAGTCAAGAATAACTCCCAAAAATTTTACATTCTCCCTAATAGGGATAGGTTCATTATTAAAGAGAATGTCGATTTCAGGGAGTTGCCTATGGCGAGAGAAGATGACAACACTGCTTTTGGGAACAGACAAGGACAAACCATGATCAGTTAACCAATCTTGTAAATAGGACATTGATAGATTCAAGCGGGAACAAGCTGTAGCAAGGTTATCCAAGGAAATATATATAGCTATATCGTCTGCATATTGGAGGATGTTACAGAATGAGTTAACAGAAAGTTCTAGATCATAAGTATAGATAGAATAGAGCAAAGGACTAAGTACTGAGCCTTGTGGGAGACCCTTCCATACAATTCTTGGCGGGAGTAGAGAATTTTGACTATCAATATAAATGGATCTAGAAGAGAGAAAGTTAGAGACAAAATTTACTATCCTCACTGGAATACTCAGATTAAGCATTTTTTGCCTGAGCACAGGAAGAAGTACATTATCATATGCAGACGAGATATCTAGAAAGACACCAACAAGGTATTCATGTTTAGAGTAAGCTATACGAATATCAGTAACTAGAGTACTAAGGCTATCCATGGTGCTTAAGCCCTTTCGGAATCCAAATTGACTTTTTGCTAGAAGGTTTTTGCTTTCAAGAAACCATTCTAGACGATTTTTTATTAGATGTTCAAGAATTTTGGCCATGGTACAAGAAAGAGCAATAGGGCGGTAGCTTGAGGGATCAGTGTGAGGCTTACCTGGAGGAATACCGGACATGTAAATACAATTTAAAATAGAAAGAAGATGGGCTTTAGTAGATTCACTGCTATTAGTAATAAAAGAATAAGGAATTCCATCAATTCCTGGTGAAGAGTCTTTAAGGACACTAAGAACAGCATATAACTCCTCATAAGAGAAAGGGGAGTCAAAACTGTGTTGATAATGCAAGGACTGTGATTGAAATACTATACTTTCATTGTAAGATGGTACTGAAGGAGGAGCAAGATTACTAGCAAAATTTTCAAGCCAATAAGACTGATCATTAGAAATTGTGTTTTCAGAGGCCAAAACTGAACATCGGAATTTTTTAATATTTTTCCAAACTAATGATGGATGAGTCCTAGGCGACAGTGACTCACATAATTTAACCCATCCAGCCTTTTTCTTCCCAGATAATAATTTTAATGTTTCAGCAGCAGTTTTTTTATAAAAAATATAGTTGTCAAAATTCATAGAGAGGGAATATCTTACTTCAGCTTCCTTTCTCTTCTTACATGCTACAGAACAATCTTGATCCCACCAAGGTGGTGAAGGAGCATTATTTTTATAAGGTTTTTTGATGTGGATTGTCTTATTGGCAGCAGATAAAATAGCATTTTTAAAAGTAGAATACACCTGAAGAACATTATCTTTCTGAACAGGAGGAAGGGCTGATAGTTCTTCCTCTAGAACTGTAGAATATAGTTGCCAGTTTGCTTTGGATGTGTTATATTTTAACCTAGGATTAAATGGAACATTGACTGTATAGGAGCTAGGGGGATTAATAACAATAGGGAAATGATCACTGCCATGGGAAAAGGGTAATATTCTCCAAGAAAGAAGGGACGACAGGGCAGGGGAACAGAGTGACAGATCTACTGCACTTTTAGGATTTTGGAGGGGGGATACTCTACGTGTAGGTGAACCATCGTTAAGCAGGCAGAGATCTAAATCATCAATGATGTCTAAAAATGTAAAAGACCAGGGATCACAAAAATGGGAGCCCCATAAAGTATGGTGCATATTAAAATCACCAAGAATTACCATAGGAGGAGGGATGGAGGATACAATCCTCGTAAGTTCTGACAAGATATTTAAACTAGGTTCGGGAATGTAAATAGAGAGAAAAGAAGTGTTATGAGCTCTAACTGCTACAGCATTAATTGAAGGACTATGAGAAGGAAGAGAAATTAATGTATAAGTAATTGATTTTGAGATAAGAATGAAAGAGCCAGCATGACCATCATGCCTATCATCCCTGAGGCATGAATAACCTGAGATCCTAAAATGGGACCCAGGCTTAAGCCATGTCTCTTGGATGGCTAGGATGAGGGGATGGTATTTATTAATAAGGTAAATTAATTCATTTTTCTTATTATTAATGCTCCGGCAGTTCCACTGAAGTATTGGAGGGAAGGTTATTTGTTAATGAAATGAGCGCAGTAAGTTTTTGGCGGAGGGCAAGTGGGAGATCCATATTGCTGAAACGGGAAAGCATACTTATAAGCATGGAGATCATTAACTCACAGAGATTGTCATTAGGGAAAAACTCCGCCCTATTAAAGCACAACCATTAGTAGTTGAAGAAGAAGGGGTCTCTATTATTGCCTCATGGGCAGATTTATCATATCCATGACTTGATGCTGGATTTGGCGGAAGTCTTGGAGTAAATGTAGTTTTCATGTAAGAATGAGATTGTGAGGGGACAACTGAAGGTAAAGTGGAATTTGAAATAGGATAGAGACTCTGATGATCATACGAAGGAAGGATTCTAGCAGCATCTGCATAAGATCTTCGGACTTGAGGGTAACGGGCAGATGCTTCTAGATAGGAAATATTTTCCTGTGACATGGTAAGTTTGATAGATCTCTGCCTAGAGTGTTCAGGGCAGGAAGGATCTTTAGCCGTGTGAGATCCTGAACAAAATAGGCAAGTGGGAGACTGTCTTGTGCATGATATTCCTTCATGATTTTGAGCACACACAAAACAATGGGAAGATGACCTACACTGTGAAGTTACGTGTCCAAAACGACAACATTTGTGTCATTGAATAAGAGGTAAAATGTAGGGCTCAACAGGCATTGAGGTGAAAAAACAATAAATGTTAGAAGGAAGTTTCTGGCCGGAAAAAGTTAAAACAACTGTTTGAGAGGGAATCCACACAGTACTTTGGTTTTCATTAACTGACTTTCTATTAAATCGGCGAGCTTTAATAATTGAGCCAAAACCAGCTGGGACCTCGATTGATGATATGAGTTCCTCTAATGTCCACTCTACAGGGACCTGCCTCACTATTCCCATCTGTGTGACATTATAGGAAGGGATTACAGTATCATATTTAGCACCTGCAAGGGCTGGGTTCTCAATAAAACAATTTGCATCAGCTGCACTTTTAAACTCGACAGAAATTCTATTGCGTCCTATTCGCTTAACACCACCACTAACAACATTTTTAATATTATTATGGTAGAGAAAATGACCAAACTTTATCGGTTTTAAAACTACTCCAGTTGATAAATCATCTACTCTCTTACTTACATGAACAATAAACGGCGCATTGTCGTTATTAGAATATTTATGTTTTTTTTCTATGTAGTCATGATGGGTATAAGAGGTCTGAATAGATGGTACAGGTTGAGATGGATCTGTAATTAATCTTTTCTGAGGATGAGCTGAGTTATTGGTTACTTGCAATCTTTTACGCTTCGACTGATCAATTTCGATAGGCATATTATTATGTTTTTTGGTAACAGTATGGGAGTCACATGGAACCCCGTCGGGATCGGGAGGATCTTCCTCCATTTTATTTTAACTAATTACATATAACACAGCACAATTACTAAATACTTACGGATTTATAACTACTAAAACCTTCACCAATAGAAATAATAAACAAAAAAGTAAATCAACAGCTCTCAGAATAAGAAATAGCCAAAAACACAATGACACCTCACACCACTCCTCAAAAACCCCCTGTTTTTAGGTTATTGTGATAATCATATTTATTTGTTAATTTCTCAGTATTCCTGTTAGATGTGGTAAAACTAGTATTACTATTGTAATCTATTGGTTATAAGGAATAAATTGACATGTGTTTCATTAAATTACGCCTGGTTATGGCGGTGGGCCCATTCTCAATACAAAAAGAAATTGTCTCCTTTGGTAGGATTCAATATCCTAGCATCCATTCATTCAATCTTCCATTCAAAATGTTTGGTGATTGGTATGGTGATAGTAGTGTATGCATAAGTCTCGTGGAAGAAAGAATGATGTTCTACAAACTATTTACGTTTTTTCCATTATTTACTTTATTTTTAACATTATATGTAATAACAAAACTATCTGTTGAAAGTTTTAAATGTATAGAATTAACGTTCTCTGTGTGTTTCTTCTCAAGCGTCCAACAATACAAATATTCAAATATCATTCTCCTTGTTACTCATATATCGTGCATAAAGTACAATGAGTAATATTAAAATAGACAAGCAGTTCAAGATATTATTAGTGTAATACCCATGTTTAACATTTAACCGACAAAAAAATTACCGGAAATTGCCTTAGCAGGCTAATCTTCTAAATAAATTCAGCTTTTTAACTACCTATGTCTTAACTTTAAACATGTGCTATAAAAAAGTTTCACTATGCTTAAATCTGACGGCTCCGTAGTGCAGTCGCTTAGTAATGAGTTGCGCTGTGGGCCGCGGGTTCGAATCCCGCACGGAACAAATATTTGTATGGCCTACAAATAATTGTTCCAGGTCTGAATGTTTGTCCTCGTGCAATTTATGTTTGTAAACTGCCTCCACGATACAGGAGAAGAAAATCCTAGTGTGGTGGTAAAGTTTTAAAAAAACCTGTTTAAAAAAATCTAAAAGTTGAAATTTGTGCATTTGTAATGAAATAATTTAAACTGTTTAATCCAGTAGTTTCAGTTTAAAAAAAAAGTATACCTATTTGATATTTTATAGCTTTTTAACTTAATTTTGATTTCAGACTAATATGCAAGTCAATAATAAAAATGAAGATTATTTCCTTAATTTGGAAGCAATTATTCGGGGCACGGAAACAACTCAAGGCAAATTTCTTTAATATTTATTATTAAGACTCCTAGTGTATATGTTAATTTCTAAAATATGTCATGTAACATAAAATGGGTTTGATGTATTTTTCTACACTACCACCACCTGATGGTAAATAAATACATCAAACCGTTTCATTTCACATGGGTTTTTTATGAAGCAACTATAGGAAATGCCAGAAAAGTCTTACGGCTTGGTATTTCATTGTCAAACCAAAGCTGTAAATCCATCGTTATCTTAGTAAAATACTGTGTCAATGATCCAAGCCATCTGGTGCACTAGGAGAGGCCCATGTTATGACAGTACATATTAAATTTCATAACTACATTTTTTAAGACAGTATTGTATTTACTAAAATGGAAATTACTGAAGAATGTTAGTTGTTTTATTTATATATTAATAAGTTAAGTTCATAGAATCATTCTCATTTAATTTAATTCTTGTAAATAAATAATGATATGAAAATACTTGAATGTATCCACACACTTTAAATATTAAAAAAATTTAACGCTGCCATTTATATTTTCAACTAACTTGAAGATTTAACACTAACATTTTGTATTAAATGTTCCTTACAAACTTTGCCCTTAAAAGGCAAAACCGGTCAGTGTATAAATTAAAATGTATTATATTCGTGTTTTATAGGTCAGTGCTTGGAGTGCCAGAACCCAACTATAAAAATGTGCCAGCAGTGTGCTACAATACTGTGCGACAATTGCTTCAACAAAAGCCACAAAAACTTTGTTGTTTTCAGAAACCATAAGCTACAGAATATTGGTAAGAAATACTATTATAGGTGTGTGCAAAAGTTATACCCGTTTCCCAAAGCCCGAAGTCTAATAAAAAACAGTGTTACGCATTAATAAATAATTCAATGCTGAGCAATCCAGATGATGCAAGGTAGCCCTATCAAATTATAACATCAAGGACCGTGTCGTCTATCAAGGACAACATCAAATCCAAACACTGCTTGTTTTTATCATTTTTTTTTTATAAATTTTACAGCTGTTTGATAAAAATCAGCTGTTGCTTGTCTACAGATTTGTGAGGTGTACTACGAGGAGGGCAGTATACTGTTAGATTAGTATTGCCAACCTCAAATGTAAAAAACTAGGATTTGAAGTTGGAATAACCAAAATAATTCAGTTTAAAAACAGAATACAGTAAAGGCCTTGTCAAACATAACTGTGAAACGAACTGAAAATATGACGAATGTATGTGCTATGTATGCAAGTATCGGTTCGTTTTCGCTCTTTATATGTGACGCTTTGCCACGCTATCGGTTCGCTATCTATTTGACTCATGCATAATAGAGTTGCAATAGTTACATTATTATGTAGTGAAATTAAGTTAAAAGAAATTCAAGTAATGATAATAATCATATTTTTAATAAAAGTATTTGAATAAACTTATACGGTTTGAAAATGAGTTATTAAAATATAAAACAAAAACTAGTTTGTAACAAATTCTTTAAACTTAAAATTGGTAACACTTTATATCTATGTTATGATTAGTTTTCATGATGGCAGCTATTGTTGTCGGCAGTAATCGATTTCTTTTTTTTTGATCACTGTGAATTTATGAGAGAAAAAACTCTCGACATTAGCGTTATGACCCCAGTATACTAAATACATATTCAGTCACTTTCCATAGTTCTGCTTACTGTTTTCCTCAAAAATGCATCTTGAAATATCTTAGCCACAAGGCGTTTAAGCTATCGTCTTTTTGAATAGAATTCAATATCGTGCTAAAAATTTTCAAATTAACCCACTCGTCAAATTTTTTCTTCGTTAATTTCAATGCCGTGATATTTTAAAAGACCAAAGATTTTTCAATGTTGCTCCAATCTAGCAAATCAGACCCTGTTAGATCAATCCAGTCGAAAACTTTTAGAGTGCTTTCAAAATCCAGGGTCCTGGTCCTAGCGCTTTAAAAATCCAGGACGCTGCTTAAAAACTATCCAGGACATCCCAGGACACTACAAAAACAAGGACATGCCCTGGGAAAACAGGACGGTTGGCAACCCTATGTTAGCTAATACTATTGACTATTTAAATAAATAAACACTACTTAATTAAGACTATATTATTAAATATTCATGGAACGCATTAGAAGTAGAAGAAGAGCAAGAGAAATTTTTATGCTTGTAAGGCGAAGTTATATTTACTTTAATTAACCCGATATTTACCGCAGACAGATTTATAACAGTGGTACAGATTTACTGCTAACCAACAAGCCCTTATTGAAAAAATCTTTCAAAACACTCAATTCGTCGTAAATATATTAAACACTTAACAATTATTGCAAATAATTACGACTTATAAAATAAAACAAAGACTTAAATGTGAAATACCTTTTAAGTATTCAAGGAGAGAGAAAAGAAGAAACTTAAAAAAAATATTTTTCATTGAAAAATTGTTTTCATATATCTACTAAGAAAATATCTTAAATATTATGTTGAATAACTTGGGACTATGCATAATATTTTATGTAAAATTAGGATGACTTGTTGTACCGTTTAGAAAAAAATAGGGTGCAATAGGTGAACGGAGTAGAAGCCTGTGACTATCAATAAATAACTTTCCGTAATAGAAAAATAAAACAAGTTTTGAAATAAATGATTAAATCAATTAAAAACTATCGAGATTCAAATCATATGCACCCTACTTTACGTGATGATATCCATTGAAAAAAAAACCCCACACTTCCCTTGAGATTCAAATGAATAGTCCATTGAAAGTTACATTCCCCTAATCAAACAATTACTGTAAATTTGTATATAAAAGTAAAGTTACAGCCTATATACGTCCCACTGCTGGGCACAGGCATCCTCTCATTTCTAAGAGGGTTTTAGGGCAAGGAAGTGTCACCGCGCTGCCCCAATGCGTGTTGGCGAACTTCATATGTCTTCGAAATATTTCTTTTTCTTATTTCTCAGACATGCAGGTTCCTTCACGATGTTTTCCTCCACCGCCGAGCACGTGGTAAATCAGCACTTAAAATTGCAATTCATTGGTGCCATCATCGAACCCGGGTTGCTTGGAAATTTACAGCGAGCGCTAACCATCTGAGCTACCATGGCTCTATTTGTATATATCGGCTAAATTTGCTATAAATCACAAAAAAAAATTAAAGCCTCTAGTTTTAATGAGTCAAGTTACACAGCTTCCTTGACTCAAAAAATATTATTGGATCTGACAACTTCCAACTATCACCTCTTTTGTTCATTGCAAAAGAGTTTAACTCTTAAAAGTTTCAATAAATTGGAACTATTACAAATAGCAATACAATTGTTTTTTTTTATTAATATTCTTATTATCAATAATAATGGCGAATAAGTAGATAGATAGTGTTTTTGAATTTTTTTTGATAGTTGTTGCATTAAAAGCATGTAGGAATTTTGCACACCCAATATTATTAAAATAAAATGTAAATCCTTTTAAAATAGTTTGTATTGAAAATATAATGTTAACATAGATATTAATTTTTATGTTCTAATTCATTTTTTTTTTCATATTTATAAGTATTTACTAAGAATCTGAAACTTAAAGTTTTTAATACAATATCCATAAAAATAATTTTGTGGATTATTTTGTTTTAGAGCCAAAATTAACATTAAACAATTGCAAAGTGCATACAGAAAAGTCTTTGGATTATTATTGTAAGGATTGTTCTAAATCCATTTGTATGGATTGTTTGGTTGTTGGTGGTGAAAAGTCATGCAAAAATCATAATTTGGTGTCCATGCAGGAAGTGGTGAGTTTATTTTATCTTTCATAATAATTTGTAATACAAATTAATGCAAAATCATGGAAATATTATGAAACTTAAGGGTTATTCCTGAATATCTGTAATAGCTAGTTACATTTAAACTTAACATTATGTTTTTATATAAATTGCAGAATGAAGAATTATTGGAAAAATTAGCCGAAATTTCACCAAAAGTGGATGAGACATTTAGGCGATTGACAAAAACTGCAGTTGTAAGTACTTGTTTTAATTCCAAATATATAGTTCATTTGACATAAAATTACTAAGTAAGATCTCATTTAATTAATCAATAGGCTAAAATGTAAACATTTTGTTTTTCCCGCGTCAAAAAGCAAATTGTTCGCTGCATATTATTTGGAAACAATATCCAGTATTTGCTTGGTGTTTCCGGTGCAAAATAGTTTATTTTAGCTTTATTTAACAATAAGCATCTGCATCAGTAAAGATAAATATATCAGTCATTTTTGTACCATACATGAAAGATCATGTATGTTGACCAAGAACAAAAAATGGTAGTGTATAGATAAAAAAAATTGTCTCATGAAAAATCGCTCTTACCAATCGTTAATAAGTTAAGAGTTAATAAGTAAAGAGCGATTTTGTGATCCTACTTATGATTAAAATTTTTAGGAACCTTGTAATATTTTTTAACTAGAAAATATTCTTCATAGCTGCACGTTTAAAGTTAAATCCATTGGATAGGCTGCAAAGTTACTTCTATACATAATATATGGAACTTGTATGAGTGTAAGCCCACTACAATATACATAGTAGTTGTATGTCCTAATCCGGTCATAACAAGTACCTAGTTGTATGGCCTACATATAATTGTACCACATCTTGAATTCCTAGTATCTTTTGGTGGTGACCTGGTGTTTTATACTTACAGGATATTGGTCATTTGCTTCACAATATAGAAAACGAGACAGGATCCACAGACCTCACACAAGTAACAAATGAGGTGGAACAACACTTCTCAAAACTTACGTCAATAATCCAGAAGAAAAAACAGGACGTGATCGATAAAATACTTTTACTAAAAAATGCAGAAAAAGAAACATTGCATGAAGCCAAAAATTCAGTGGCTAATTCAATTAAGAAAGCAAATTCCGTACTGATTTCTATAAACAAATCTTTAAGTGTTGAGAAAATTAAACAGGTTTGGAAAATTGCCTTTCTATTATGAAATAATCTTATTTGAATTTGTAATTATTAATATTCAAAATCTTAACAAAATTGATTAGAAATATGTATCAATGGTCATTTCGATTTAATGAATTTTGGTCAATATTTGATTAAATTCAAAAGTTATCTTATGACATTTACATTAGCTTATAAAAATTGATCACAACCATGTTGCTTAAAGGGCAACTCATCTGCCTAATGAGCTTAAATTCCCTACCAACTGATAAAATAGTTACGAATATTTTCTCTGTCGTGTGTAGATTCATAAGACAATATTTTGTTTCTAGGCAAATATGTCAACACTTCTTGAAGATGCCAAACAGGTTTTATCCAGTCCCTGGTACCTAAACCGCAACAAGACTGCAATAAAGTATGTTTGATTTTTTTTTTAATTATAGTATTCATTATATTTATTATTAAAGTTACCCTGTTAAATTAACCTAAAGAGCAGTTACAATATTCACCTATCTATTTTTAGTTATCTAAAAACAAAAACTGAACGATACTGCTATTATATCAAGCACATGCCCCAAGGCTGTCACAAATTTCTCAGAGAGCTTCTTGGGTTGATATTAGAACTCTCAAGATTTCACCATCGCCAATCACAAGGTTCTGTTGTGCATTGTAACCAATCTACCCCAACTTATACATTAATCTTTATATATAAAAATTACGTGTCACGTTGTTTGTCCGCTATGAACTCCTAAACTACTGAATTGATTTTAATGAAATTTTGCACACTGTGCAGTTTGGTCCAACTTGAAAGATAAGATAGTTTTTATCCTGTTAAGTGACACTCAGTATTTTTTATTACGAATTTAAGGACTTATAGGACACAGGGTCGTCGAAGAGGGCAGAACAACGTCTGCCTGGCCAGCTAGTATTATATTATATTATTTTCGTAGTGTGAACACTATTCTCTCAGAAGCAATCAGAATGTTCCCATTTTACTATGTATGGATGGCAATAACAGCTGCATGTCAGTAATCAATAAGACTGCTGTTTTATTTTTTAACTAGCTGTTCCCCACGACTTCGTCCGCGTGTAATTTAGGGTTTTAATTTTGTTGCGCGGAACCCTAATTATTTTTCGAAAATATAAGTAGCCCAAGTTACTCCTTGTAACATGAGCTATTTACCAGTGAAAGTCCCGTTAAAATCAGTCCAGCAGTTTCGGAGATTAGCCGGAACAAACAGACAGACAGACAAAAATGTTACAAAATGTGTTTTTGTTATAAGTACTGTATATACTTTCATATGCAATTAGTAAAAAGATGTTATTTTGACATTACAAACAGACACTTCAACTTTATTTATTTGTATAGATAACTACAAAAATACTACAGAAGGATAATTCTGTTATGCTGTTGTGTTGTTTTAGAGCATAATAATTATGATAATGTCTAATGAGTAATCTTATAATAATTCAACAATCCACAACAATTAATGAACTTTATACTTTTTATAATGATTTCTTATATTTACGCAAAGACTACACGTTAATGAAACTAATTTTTTTCGGATTTTATCGTCTCTCCTAATCTCAGTTTTGTGTATAACAGTGTTATTAGCCATTTTGCCAAACGTGGTTATTGTGGTAAATAATCCCGATAATGACCACCGGTCTAGATATTTTTAAGTGTGACAATTTTTGATGCTGCACGAGTAAGAATTCGGTAGCATTCTAAAATTTAATTTTATCAGTTACTTATCATTAGTTTATTTAGAGAAAGTAGAGGGCGGGGCGCTATATTACTATGAAAGTCAAAACTATACTATCTTCTTCTTCTTAATAACTGGCTTTACGGCTCTGGGATCTAGCCCTTCTGAGCCTGAAGTTACAATATTATATTATAATAATTATTCTTCATAGTATACTGCTTCACTATATGTTGATGCGTCACATTGCGCAGCCCTTGGGAGATTTTGACGACAACTTGAGCCAGCAGACAGTTGGCGATGGTTCCTCAAGACGTCTAGGCAGACAGAAACCTTATCTTGAGATTTACATCACTTTCGGAACACTTGTTTCACCTTTTCCACGAGTAGTTCACATGCGCAGACATTTAATACACAAAAACGCACCACTTAACATATCAAAATCCACTTCAAACCATCATTTAAACAGTAATACAGGAGCAGCAATTCGCCGCCGGTCAAGTTCACGCCAAGTCTCAATATTTAAAGATTTTAAACAGTAGTTAAAGAATAAAATTATGTGGCAATTTCACTAAAAGTGACTAACGCAACAAAAATAAATCGATTACTGTTGTTGACATAATTTAAAGATTTTCGTTTTGTTCAGGCTTACTACCACAACAATACGAAAATCTGACATTTTCGGCACCTGTTGTGTATTATTGATTGTTATTATTAAAATCGACATTATTCTAATTACTAAAAGCACAAAACGGTAGTTTCAAATATGCTACTTATAAACCACAGAATAATATACAATATTAAAACATGAAATAAAAAAGAACTTCGTGTAGTGCACACTGAAAGATTATCGTCGTAAAGTTAGGAAATAGTGAAGTTATTATCTGAGTAGCGACCTTTTTCTTTCACACCTTTTGCCAATACTATTGCATACAACAGTGGTAGAGCCACGCGGCAGCTTTTGCTGTCGCACGCAAAGGCCGGCTCGAACCGGGGTGGTACCACGATCTCACAGAAAACCAGCGTGAAGTAGAGGTTTACCTCTGCGTTTCGCTTGGTGAGTGCAGGTGGCCGGAGGCCCTTTTTACTGGAAATGAGGCATTCCATCTTAGTCCTCACGGGTGACAACGCATCTACATTTCGATTTGATAGATGTAGATGTCTATGGGCCGCAGCAACCACTTACCATCAGGTGGATTGTGTGCTCGTTTGTCACCCTTATCCTATAAAAAAAAAATACTTGCCTGTTCGCGCAATAAAAGAAATAACAGGGTAGCAACAAAAAATTAATAGGAGTTCGATAATAAATTATACATTGCGTAATAATAATGCCTATTTTAATATGTGTTAATATCTAACATTATAAGAAAATTAATACTACTTACTCAAAAACTAACTTTTTGCCCAACCTTGCCTGCCTTTGCTTAATGTTCACGCATCTTGTAGGACGTGTAAGAGAAAACCCCATAAAATACAATTTCATTGTAATCGAATATTGCCATCCCGCTACTGATTCATACATCGTCATTTGTGCCGCAAGGCGCGGTTGTTGCGCACACGTCTATATCTATACAAATAAATAAAATTGAAGTGCCTGTTTGTAATGTCAAAATAACAGCTTTTTAACTAAATGCATATAAAAGTATATACGATACTTATAACAAAAACACATTAAATTTTTTGTCTGTTTGTCTATTTGTTCCGGCTAATCTCCGGAACGGCTGGACCGATTTCGACGGGACTTTGACTGGCAGATAGCTGATGTTATAAGGAGTAACTTAAGCTACTTATATTCTCGAAAAAGAATTAGAGTTCCGCGCAACATAATTATATAGGGTGGAAAACCGGTACTGCAAGTCCTTCAGAAGCTCTTTAATTCCGTCCTCCATGGTGGCATTACACCAGAGGCGTGGAGCAGAAGTGCGGTGGTCTTGTTCTTCAAGAAAAGCGACAACGCTCTCTTGAAGAACTACAGACCGATTTCCCTTCTGAGCCGCGTCTACGTGCTGTTTTCGACAGTCATTACGAATCGTCTCGCGCTCAGACTTAACGACTTCCAGCCCCCCGAACAAGCCGGTTTCCGAAAAGGCTTTAGCACCATAGACCACATACATACCCTTCGGCAAATTGTACAGAAGTCCGAGGAGTACAATTTGCCACTATGTATGGCGTATGTGGACTATGAGAAAGCCTTTGATTCTGTCGAAATTTGGGCGGTGCTGCAGTCCCTTCAGCGGTGCCAAGTTGACTGTCGGTATATCGAAGTGCTGAAGTGTTTTTACAGTAGGGCTACGATGGCTATCCGAGAACGGAACCAGAGTACGAAGTCTATCCAACTGCAGAGAGGTGTAAGGCAGGGTGACGTTATTTCCCCGAAAATCTTCACCGCTGCATTGGAAGACGTTTTCAAGCTACCGGACTGGAAAGGATACGGTATCAACATCAATGGCGAGTACATCACTCACCTTCGATTTGCCGACGATATAGTCCTTATGGCAGAATCGCTGGAGGACCTAAGCACTATGCTCAATGACCTCAGTAGTGTTTCCCAATGGATAGGTCTTAAGATGAACATGGACAAAACAAAGATCATGTTTAATGTCCATGTCACATCTATGCCGGTAGTTGTTGGGAGCACTAAGCTCGAAGTTGTTGACGAGTATGTTTACCTGGGACAAATAGCCCGACTAGGTAAGTCCAACTTCGACCGAGAGGTCAATCGATGGATTCAACTCGGTTAGCGTTCGGGAAATCACGGCACATCTTCTCGTCAAGTATACCTCAAAACTTGAAAACGAGACTGTACAACCAGTGCGTGTTGCCTGTGATGAGCTATGGAACTGAGACGTGGTCCTTCACTGCTGGCCGGATGAGGAAGCTCAAGGTCGCTCAGCGAGCTATGGAGAGGGCTATGCTCGGAGTTTCTCTGCGTGATAAACTTAGAAATGAGGATATCCGCAGTAGAACCAGAGTGACCGACATAGCCCAACGGATTAGTAAGCTGAAGTGGCAATGGGTCTGCCATATAGCTCGAAGAACCGACAACCGATGGGGAAAAAAGGTTCTTGAGTGGCAGCCTCGTACCGGCAGGCTAATTGTAGGGTGTCCCCCTACTAGATGGAGTGACGACCTGGTAAGATATGCAGGAAGTCGATGGATGCAGGTGGCTCAGGACCGTGCTGTTTGGCATTCTTTGGGAGAGGCCTATGTTCAGCAGTGGACTTGTGAAGGGCTGTAATGATGATGATGCAACATAATTAAAAATCTAAATAACACGCGGGCGAAGTTGCGGGGAACAGTTATTCGACATACGACGCGTGGACCTTTCTTTTAATTAAAAAAGAAAATTGACTTGTATGTAGGGTTGGGTTTGAAAGAATTATGTAGAAAGAATTAAAGAATTTCACATTCTGAAGTAGGTTCTCAACACATAGTATATAGAAAAATTAAAGCCCCAGCTCCGACTGATTTTTTATTTAAGTTACTTTTTTAGCCTTCTGATTGGACTAAGTGACTATAGCACGTCAGAATACCAATTTCGTTTAAATAGTTACATTAAAAAATTCCCTATATTTCCTCATAATTTATACAGGATTAAGACCCCTGAAGTATTATTATTGGATGTTTAATCTAAAAGAATCATCACAATCGATTTGCAATTGAAGAAGATATCGTAAAACATACATACAAAAAAACATGCAGTCGTATTTGTAAATCACCTCCTTCTTGTAAAGTCGGTTAAAAAAGAAGTCTTCCAAAAAAACTTAACTGCCTCCAAACTACACAGTCAACCATCGTAACCTCTTACAATCGTTCACCTTCACCTAATGTTATGTAAAATATCCTATCCAGTTGCTCCCTTCTATTCAAAATTCTATTTTTGTCTTGTTTTTTTTGTTGCATTCTAAATTACTAAAATGATTCAAGATTATCTTCATTACATTAAAACACTACCTTTGATTTAATTTCTACATGTATGTGACAACAATATAGAGATTTCAATCTCTTACCTTAAGTTGACAGTAAGTCGTTACAATGTGCAATGGACCTTTAGGTAATCTTATTGAGTAAAACGCGAGACCTCCTTCCTCCTTATTGGTTTATTATTATATCTTGTTGATTATGATTAAGCTGTAAATCTAACATGATTGTAACTTAATGAATGTTCCAATTATAGGTTGGTGGTGAATGAAGAGGTGTGCAACCTCATCAGTGACTTTGTTCGCTTCGAAGAGGAGGGTAATGTCACCTATGAACTTGTTGATACAGCACATCTCGATCCAAGCGTTGAAATACCACCTCCTCCACCAGCACCAGTATATCCTCCTGAACTACCCAAAGGTAACAAAGTCTAGAATATTGTTATTATAGACCCACAGATTACAAACTCCTCATTGTTGAATTTAAATTAGTTCAATTTATGCACTTTTATGTAGTAGATCCAGACCCATATTATGGCTTGAATTAATACAGAAAAATGGTTGGACCCTACCATTACAATTCTGTTTTTATGTTGAATGTAGAGAACCGGAGCTTTTTAGTAGTAGTAGACAATTTTTACTGCTAATAAAATATTTCATCTTAGTTATCAGGGGTGACAAAGCATCTGCATTTTGTTGTAGGAGATTTTGAGCCACAGAATTTATTTTGCAACACACTTACTTCAATTTAAAAAAAAAACAGGCAGTCTCAAAATGTATTAGTGTATATATGTGTATACATGTAAACAGGCCGCTACACTACGCGTCGCTAGTCTGCCGCAAGCGCAACATGTCACGAGCATGTCGAGTCATCGGTAACGCGAACCGATAAATTTGTCCCCTACAAAAAGTATAAAGCGAAAAATATAAATTGGTTGCAAAATCAATGTACATTTCACCGTTTAGGCGTGTTAGTTGTTTTTGTTTTAATTCACCATGTAATGTCAAGACAAAAACCGTGACACATTTGGACGAGGTAGAGCTGTGCTTCAACTGTGTTAAGGCTGCAGCACAATTAGGTTGACTATACCAGCTGCATAATGCCACTGTGTTTTGCAACCAATCGTTTTACTGGTAACAAATATCTTAGTGTTTAGGAACAACGCACTGCTTTCTAAATTCTAATCGATTAGGGGGTGTTCTTTTGTCATACTTATTTTTAAAAAAATGCTTGCTGATGAATAAGGCTGTATTGGTTGGTATTGACCTGTTCAGCGATTGTTCTATTGATATAAAAACATGGATAATGCCCCTTAGTAAGCTAGTACTTTTACATGTACAATTTGTTCTAATTCATCAATGCGTCTATTTAAAAGTCGATCAAGGGCAAATTTAATTACCTTTGACAATTGAATAAATAGCCAGGTAATCGAACGCAAGCTGACGCCCGGACTGATGACTTCATGCGGCGTCTTTAGAGAGAAAATTCGTCGTATTACTCTTGGCAGAGTTGGATTGGGCAATCACAGGACCAAACTGTGAAATTGTGTTTCACTGAAATGTGATTGTGTAAATGTATCAGTATCGATTATTATTAACAAATGTATTCTTTTACATTAATATCTTATTTTAGGCTACAAAATGATATCATAATAAAAAAACATGCAGTGTTTCCCACTGGCAACAATTCTCTGATTTCAAATATATATTCTTCTGTATTTTTACTATTTTTTGTAGATGTGAGACAACTAAACAAAACAAAAAAAGTTGAAAAAGAAAACGAAACAGCCAAAACACCATCATTTTATAAGAGTGCACCAAAATACCATAGTAAGAGTGGTTCCATTTCATCATTGAATTCTCTGCATAGTGACTCTTCTCACAGAAGCTCTTATAGAGGTAGTATAAAAAATTTATGTTAATTAATATTGTAAGATATATAGGACCGTGCTTTCTGGCATTACTTGGGCCTTCCCAATAAATGTCAGAAAACTCGGCCTATGTTTAATAGTGGACTTTAGGAAGGCTGTAATGATGATGATGATTATAAGCTATTGTAATAACATGTCAACAAATATTTACTTTTGACTTTTAACGTTAGCAGATATTTAGTTTTGGAGTGTTACAATCTTAAAAAATATAACACACATACACTAACGATGGACGATTATTGTAAAAAAAAAAACAATCGACTGAATCGGAAATTGTGCTATTTCGCATTCGATTGTCGATTTAATAGTTATAGCTAAGTGGAAATTATGAAAAATACTGAGTAGTAATAATATTATTAATGCCCGACAACGCAATAAAAATAATATAGATTTCTCGTTTCTTTTCCTTCACTTTTGAATTGATTTACGACTCATTTGCTAAAATCGGTCTAAAGGGCTACTACGGTGAAACATCATTATAAACATACATACATACATACATACATAGAATATCAAGTACAGAACTCTTTGTTTAAATTGTTGTGATCGGTTAAAAATATAGGTTGAAAATGACAACCCTTGGTTGTAGCAAAACATGGCAAAGTAACTGTCACATCGTGGCATCACTATTATGGTAACTTTGCCAAGTTAGTTTTATAGATAAATGTTAAGACCAATATGTTAAAAACATATATATTACATTTAATAACCATTAATATTACGTTACTACAAAGATATAATTACCAATATTTCAGCATTTCAAACAAAAAACAACTAAAGTTCTGGAGCACTAAACAACGAGGTTATTTCGCCGGCGCAATTCCTCGTTAAAATAAAATGCCAAAATTAACTCTCATGTTGTCATATCGAAAGCAATGCTGTTAATTAGTTATTGTATTTTCATCCTAAAAATGGCATATCTCGAAAAACATTACGTTTTCCGTGTTAATCGTAATTTTTTTGAACAAACAAACATTAATTTTCATATATTAGATTTAATTATTAGATTAATTTACTGAACACTTTCAAAAAAATTAACATATTTTATATTTACAGATGAAGGACTCCATAAACCGATAGTGCAGCCTGTGTCGCCGTTTCCAGAAAGTCACCATCCTCGGCAACTTTATGCAGGTTCATAATATTTATTTTCGTAGTATTAGATGATGATGTTATTTGGCACATTTTGACTTTGTCCTGATTTAATGGGATATGACATAGAATTATTAATGAATCATCAACATCTTCTCATGATGAAAATTAACAAAAAACAGAAAGACTGACATTGGCCGCATGATCTTCACCCAACTACATACATTTAATTTCCTGTGCATTGTACTGATAAATATTGAAATATTATCTTTATAATAAGAGATGTGTCGTTGGAACAAAGCATAAATATGTAATGCAAACCACAGAGCACTCTAGGACGTGAGTCGCTATTTCTTCACACTCCGTGCAGGCGCTGCACAGAGGGCTGCTCGTGATACCTATAGTAAATACATTTTTATCAAAAGATCTGTGCACAGTAAGAGCACAGACTTCAAGTTTGAGATTTGTTCAAACGTAACAGAATTTTGGGAAAGCAGCTACTTATGTTGGGTAATTCCTCTAGCTTGTCTGCATACCACATAATTAATCCACGATTGTTCGTTTACGTTGGATTAGATATGACCTAGCGGTATATTTATGTGTATGTTTAAGTTCTTCAAGAAAGTCCTGGACCCAGTACTTCTTGAAGAACTTAAACGTATTTTGCCTTAGACCTATCTTGATGGTTTGTTTAATTGGATTTTGTACCATTTATTTGGGATCTTGTCATTCTTTGCTTGCAGAATGGGCAAATCTTCATATAGTTTATCTAAAATGGATAAACATGAGCGGATAAACAACAGGTACCCGTTGTTTCTCGGCAAGTTAAAACTGATTAGTCTTGTAGCTGACAATGTTGTTTCTTGCTAAATTAAAAGACGCAACATTGTCAGGTCCAATAATATGGCCTCCAAGCCATATTTGGTAACATGCCCCAGCATCTACCAATCATAACCTTGCATTGCCAAAGTTACACTTGCCTTGTTAATTTTGTGATCTATTAGGCAATACCAAAAATTTTACGTGCTATTTGAAATAACACCTATTTGTTTTACCTCCAGTGACAGTCATAACTCTGTACTGGACAGTATAGGTAAATGATAGTTTTATCCACGGAGCAAATACAAAGAGGAGACGGCCTAAGCAACTGTGTACTGTGATTCTAACTAGGCCCTGACCTCATGACAGTGGGCGTGGCTTTAGTTAGTATACTGTCAGCGTTCGTCCTGTCCGCATATGTGTCGAAAATCGCAAATGGTGTATTTTCGTAGTGTTAAGAAGAAAAGCATATTCACCTCCATAATTATGTCATTTATAAATTCTTATGGGCAGACATTATTCTTTTGCTAGGCATGTTATAATCCATTCTGTTAGGATGGATTCGTTACCATGTCCGGCGAGGGGTGCACCTATGCTAGTGAGATTTGTTTTGACCAAGGCTCCCTTGATATCCAAGAAGGTACCAAGACAGATTTCTTGGTTACTGTAGCTTTTTCAATTTGTCTTACCACCATATTATGTAGTGCAGATTATGTTTATTTACCCAAGCTAAAGGCGTGCTGATTATTATATGGAGCGGTATGTTTATTGATACATTTTCCCTCGAGTCCCTTTCACACATTCTTACACATGAAAATAATAGTAACTTGTTCAATAATCTATTTAATTTTATTCCAGGTGGCCATGAGTTGGTTTATATTTCACATATAGTGAGTCCACACGACTTTTATGTACAACGGGCTTGTCACCAAGGCATGGTCGAGGAAATGATGAAAGAGTTCCGAAATGCAGTCTCGTTACCCAAACCCTCGATAAGTCACGTAGCTGAAGGTATGTTTATTTTAGCTAGTTTCTTCCCGATTGACTTGTTTACTTGTTGATAACTCAAATGCTAATGACCTGATGAGGCTGAAATTTGGTATATATACTAACAATGAGTCATTCAACTAGCGCCTACCTGAATGAGTATGAGACTTACCGTCGTATACCGTGGTGGTTATAGAATTAAGAATGACTAATAGTAGAAAGCCAATACTATGTTTTCACCATAATTTCAGTGCACAATTTGTTTCTAAACAGGGTCTGATAGTGTTGTAGAATATTCTTGTGACTGATCTGTATTTTTAAGTTTATTACTCTTGTAAAAATAATGTACCTTTTTATTTTTCTATTTATTAAATCATAGGCACACACAAAGTTGCCCGAATACTGGCTGGATAATAGTTCAGAACGAAAATATTTTTGTTCTTTTTTCATCATTTTGAAAATGGAATGTGCTGTTCTCCATCACTATTTTTATTGCATTTTCATGCTATTATTGTTAGAGTCTACTGATAGAGAAATAATAAAGCTGCGTGATCGTAGTTAGTCGTATAAAAAATGGCATTGTTCAAAAACTATGGTGTACCAGGTGTGAAGCATTTTAATACCCATCAGATAACTTCGAATGTCCCCGGCAAACCTAAAGCGTTAAAGAAAAACTTTCCATGAGAGGATTTAAGAATAAATTCACCTTGCAAAGCAAGGAACCGCTTAAAGGCTGTGAAATAAAAAAACTTTTTGTGAGAATAACCCGAGGGAAATCTCTGCGCATACCGTTTCAAAACGGTCCGTGGATGCACAGTTGTTTGGGCGAGTAACGAGGGGAACACCCATGTTAACACCACGCTATAAAGAGGCCTGACTAGCGTTTGCAAGAAAGTATCAAGATTGGACAAAGCAGTAGAAGTATATACTTTCTTTTCGGACGAAACCAAGATTAATAGAATATGCTGTAATGGCAAGCAGTACGCCGACCTTTGAATAAGGCATTCGATCCTAAATACACGAAAGAAAAAAACAGTGAAGCATGGCGGTGGAAACGTTAAGATTTCTGCTTGCTTTCAATCAAATCGATCAATCAAAAAAAGAAATCAATACAAATAGATACTCGAAGAAAGTACGCTGCCATAAGCAGATGAAAATCTCCCGATAATTTGGCCATTCCAGTACCATAATGACTCAAACACACAGCACACTCCGTAAAAAGATACAGAGGAGAACAGTCCAGATCTTAATGTGATCGAGCATCTTTGGTAGAAAAAATAACAATTTCTCTGGGTACAAAATTCGCTACCTCTAGTTTAACTCAATGTTTACCGCCAACACATTTTGTTTTTACTTTTATTTATATTTGGAATCAATATGGAATAAATGACGAACAATTTGATATTAAAAACATTTAAAATTTTTGGCCAGTACTTTTTTAGTTGGTCTATGTTATTAAGAATTTCCCTATACCGTGTTGATGAATATGTAACAGTCAAAACTCATAACCGGTTAAAACCACTTTTGACTACAAAAATCAGACAAAAATTGTTTTAACCAATGCACTTGACTGATTTTTGTAATCAAAAGTGGTTTTAACTAGTGATGCAACGAATACTACTTGTTCGCGCCAAACGCTGTTGTCGGAATCGACGTCTAGGGGGCGCGACGGTCGGTGCCATACCGGTTTTGACGTCGCTCGAGCGGTGGGGTTGAGAACGCGTAAAGGTGCAGTGGAGTCTGTAAGCGGTGCTAACGTTAGCACGCAGTCATTTTTGTCGGGAACTCGGAATAATTAGGCGCGGACAGTAAATATACGGTCTAGGATTTGTGACGCGCATTCCTGCTGGAGAGCTTCCCAGGGACTCATTGTGTCTGACTCAGAATCTGCATAAGTGCATTCGGCAATATTAGCTAGTGCGGCCTTTGATGTTCTAGAAATAACTGTTGCTACGCGAAACGGTAGTGACCTTTGATCTGGAAACTCCGTGTGCGTTTTGTGCGTTAACCTTATACCCAACGAGAGTTAGTGGCTTCTGTAAGTTAGTTAATCGTACGATAGAGTTAATTGACTGTCATCGTGACGAACGAGGAAAGTGACTGTGGACAACGCCGCGGAAGGTTCCCTCAATTTGGAGCGGTGTCGACGCCCGGGCTGCTGCCGACGGCCAAGGTCTAGGGTCAATCACCATCAGTCACACCCAGATACACATCACATCACCTTATTTCCCTTGCACTACACAACCACATGCGACCTGACCGACTCCGGAGGGACCAGTCGCCTTGGATATAGGTAAGTAAGCTCCGTCTAATATCCTCCCGGTCGACTGGTCGTAGTATAGAACGCTCCCCCATATAGTTTAGTGTAATTAGAGAAATTCCACGTGGCCACATTGAGGCCCGACCCACGTCTGCTCGGGAAGTCTTCTGCTCATGGGCCCCAGAGGATTTGACCCTTTAAGGGAGCAGCCGTAGGCCGTAACACTACTTTTACGAATACGAATATCAAACCTACCATTCAGCGAATACGAATACGAATATCTCGCCATGGTAATAAAAAAACCGGCAAAGTGCGAGTCGGACTCGCGCACCGAAGGTTCCGTACAAATCTGTAGGTATATAAGTTTAAAATTATTAAAAATATTTTTATCATATGATGTAACTAAAAATTTATGCTTTTCGCAATTTTCCTTTACCTGTGCTATAAAACGTTGCTTCGTACCAAATTTCAAGATTCTGAGTTCACGGGAAGTACCCTGTAGGTTTTGATTCCCTTGCGAATGTCGAAAAATTACGCCATAAACGGCTGTATCTTTAAATTGCGTTGGCTTAGAAGTTTGATTTTTTCACAGCTCTAAGGGACAGTAGACTTGAGTATTTGATATGAATTTCAGCTTGATACCTCCACGCGTTCCTGAGAAAAAGGGTCTTGACAGACAGACAGACAGACAGACAGACAGACTGACGGACAACAAAGTGATCCTATAAGGGTTCCGTTTTTTCCTTTTGAGGTACGGAACCCTAAAAACTAATTTATTTGATGATTTTCTATTGTTCTAATAATTAAAATTTACAATAGGCAAATTTTTATTTAAAAAACATAAAATTTGTAGATTTTCTGGTTTTAGGCGATTTCTTTTATCAGTTGAAAAAAGAAAAGACGTTGAAAAAAGTCCTTCCGAGGCGACTGTACATAGTTTCTTAGTAAAAAATACTTTTGGGAGTCCCCGTCGTTGAGGCTAAGAGCCAAAACACACGTATTTTTACGCGCCAACGACGCGCGTTATCAAAGTCCGCCAGTAATTAGAGTTGCGTACAAAAATATTAGTTTTTAAATATTCGTGATCAGTATTCGCCGAATACGAATATTCTAATTATTATTTTTGACAGTATGAGTTTTGACTGTAAACTCTATATGTGTATGTGTATATTTATTATAAATAAATGTTTCACAGGGAAACTGTACTTGGTGTTCAACAAGGCAGACAATTTGTGGCAACGATGCAGAGTAATTAGTATTGACAGAAAGGATATTACTAAGCCAATCTTCCATGTGTTTTGCATTGACTTTGGAAGCACAGAAATTGTTCCTATAGATAAGTAAGTGTTTAAATGAACCATTTCTCATTCCCGTGAATCATAATCGAACATTTCGATTAACATTTCGATTAGATAAACTATTAACTTAGGTAATTTAATCAAGGCTGTAACAGAATCTAAGCCTTGTAGACAACTTGAAAGGTCTTCTTGATAATTCCATAAGTTTTAGAGTAAATGTAACAACATTATGTTTGCCTTTTCATCTCATCTTTCTTCAATTCAATTTTAAACAATTTAAATTCTTTTTCTCGTCTAAATAGTACAATACCTAGGAATCTTGGTCTCAGAATCCAAATAATCTTAATGATTTTTTTTTCTCATTTACTTCAGGCATTAGATACATACAATAAATTTTAAATCAGAGTTGTTTATAAAAAAGGTTGGGTTAATATATTTGCCTTGAAGTGGTGGTGTAAAAGAATCCATCACCACATTTCGTCCTGTGGGTGTCGTAAGAGGCGAATATGGGATATGCCAAAAATGATATGGTTTTTTCCAGTAGAAACTTGTATCCATCTTATTTACGCCAGGCATAGAATACCCATACTAATGAAGAACGGCAGCGTCAAAGTTATAAGAATGGTGGTGGTCTAGTACAGCGATTGTCGATCCGCAAACCAAGCATGACGGTTAAGGCTTTTTAACAAATCAAATCTTAACTTATATGCGCTGATGAAGAAGATATAACTTTTTTGTAGGATAGGGTGACAAACGAGCACACAGTCCACCTGATGGTAAGTGGTTGCTGTGGCCCATAGACATCTACATCTATCCTCGTTTGCGAAATCAAGATGCGTTGTCACCCGTGAGGACTAAGATGCAATGCCTCTTTTCCAGTAAAAAGAGTCTCTGGTTTTCTACACTTACCATACGAAACAGCAGTGTTAAGCTGCTATATTACGCTGGTATTCTGTGAGAGCGTGGGCCTTGCTCGGTCGAGCCGACCCATTCGTGCTACAACTATACTACTAATATAGTTGCAGCATGGCTCTACCACGTTAAAAAACCCTTTAAGTTATATAAGAAAAAATAATGACAGATTATTTTTTTAATCTGAAATGCATTTCATCTTTCGAATACTACTTCTGTAAATATATTTACAGGTTCACATGTAGGGAACACTTATAATTTCGTTTCCTCCATTAGACAAATCATATCACGGGACAATACTAACTTTAACAATGAACAATTCCCCTTACATGTAACCTGTGTTACCTACAATTGGGGATCCAAAATTTTCTTTTCCTAGATGGATATGATATTATAACAAGACATTATAAAGGTTTTTTATAGTTATGAGTTTTCATAAAGCACTTTTAGGAATTTGTTTGTTCGAAATACCTAACAAGTTTTAAAACAGACTAACCTAAATTTTATATACAACTAACATAATATGGGAAAAAACTAAAAAAATAGCTTGGACTAATTTCGATTATTTATTTAAAAAATACTGGAGATTATCATAATGGCTCTCGACTATTTTATTGGAACGAAGTTCTTTAACGGACGGTACCAATTTGACGATTGGGGGCTAGGCGAGAAAAAGTGTAAGATTTTTCCGTCACGACCCCTTTTGACGTACTGTAGACGGTCTTGGCGACTATAAGGAAGCGAGATGGAATAATATCCATCTCCCTCGCACTTTTTCTTATGCCATGAATGAAATATTTTTTTAAATTATGCTTCATTTTAATAAACGCTAGTAATTGGTTTATTGGCTCGCCAAGCGTGGCAACTATGGCAAATACCCCCCAATGATGAGAGCAACAAAAAAACGGCCCCCAGTCCCCGGCGGCCCCGCTATTCCTGGCTACGGTGGCGACCATGGTAACGGCGGGGCAGGGGGTGCTAAGAATCTCCGGTGGAGGTTCGGTTGCCACCTTAGACGACTCGACCTGGCAACGTACAACGCACGCACCCTGAGGACTGACGAAAAGATCGTGGAGCTGGAAGAAGAGATAGACAAGTTGCGCTGGCATATTATAGGATTATCTGAAGTCCGAAGAGAGGGGGAGGACACGGTAATCCTCGAATCCGGCAACTTGCTCTATCACCGGGAGGGCGACCATCTGTCCCAAGGAGGTGTCGGATTTATCGTCCACAAGTCTCTCGTTAACAACGTTGTAAAAATCGGGAGTGTGTCGACGAGGGTTGCGTACCTTATACTCAGAATCACCAAACGGTATTCGCTGAAGGTCATACAGGTTTACGCACCAACCTCGGCACACCCTGATGAAGAGGTGGAGGAAATGTATGAGGATATCTCTAGAGCCATGCATTCCTCCAAAACCCAATATACGGTGTTAATGGGAGACTTCAATGCAAAACTAGGCACAAGAGAGAACGGTGAGCTGAAAGTAGGGAAATTTGGAATAGGGCAACGGAACCCAAGGGGCCAGCAGCTGGCCGACTTCATGGAGAAAGAGGGACTCTTTATGATGAACTCTTTCTTCCAGAAGCGGCCCCACAGGAAGTGGACCTGGTCGAGCCCCGACGGTTCCACAAAAAATGAGATTGACTTCATTATGACGACCAGACGACAACTGTTCAGTGATGTCTCCGTGATCGCGAGGGTGAAAACTGGTAGCGATCACCGAATGGTTAGAGGCACACTGAACCTAAACGTTAAGTTGGAGAGGTCTCGTCTAATGAAGTCAACGCTCCGTCCCCCTCGTGCTCTGTTTCAAAGTACCGAAACCTTTCAGCTCGAGTTACAAAACCGTTTTCAGTGCCTAGAAGACTGCAATGAAGTGGACGATATGAATGACAAGCTCGTGGAAACTGTCCATGCGGTTGGAGCTAAGTTCTGCAAGACCCGCCGCAGAAGAACACAAAAACTCTCCGATCACACTCTTAATCTCATGGCTGTTAGACGGGAGATGAAGCTACATTCTTCAACAGACTTGACAGCATACAGGCATCTGAACAGACAGATCTCCAAATGCATGCGGCGGGACTTACGCAACTTCAATACAGCTCGTATTGAAGAAGCGATCGAGCGGAACCAAGGCTCCAAAGTCTTTGCCAGAGATCTGTCTGCCAGAAAGAGCCAACTGTCAAAGCTGAAGACAGAATGTGGCAGCATCGTTTCCGGGGCACCTGAGATTTTGAGTGAGATTGAGAGGTTCTATGGGCAGCTGTACACATCATCGTTGGAGCCACACGCAAGTGTGAGTAACGATCCAAGAGCGAGTCTCATCCGACACTATTCCGAAGATATCCCGGATGTCAGTCTGAGCGAGATTAGGATGGCTCTCCAGCACCTTAAAAACGGTAAGGCCCCAGGCGAGGATGGAATTACAGCGGAGCTTCTGAAAGCGGGTGGAAGACCGGTACTTGAAGTCCTTCAGAAGCTCTTTAATTCCGTCCTCCATGGTGGCATTACACCGGAGGCGTGGAGCAGAAGTGCGGTGGTCTTGTTCTTCAAGAAAGGTGACAACGCTCTCTTGAAGAACTACAGACCGATTTCCCTTCTGAGCCGCGTCTACGTGCTGTTTTCGAGAGTCATTACGAGTCGTCTCGCGCGCAGACTTGACGACTTCCAGCCTCCCGAACAAGCCGGTTTCCGAAAGGGCTTTAGCACCATAGACCACATACATACCCTTCGGCAAGTTGTACAGAAGTCCGAAGAGTACAATTTGCCACTATGTCTGGCGTATGTGGACTATGAGAAAGCCTTTGATTCCGTCGAAATTTGGGCGGTGCTGCAGTCCCTTCAGCGGTGCCAAGTTGACTGTCGGTATATCGAAGTGTTGAAGTGCTTGTACAGTAGGGCTACGATGGCTATCCGATTACAGAACCAGAGTACGAAACCTATCCAATTGCAGAGAGGTGTAAGACAGGGTGACGTCATATCCCCGAAACTCTTCACCGCTGCATTGGAAGACGTTTTCAAGCTTCTGGACTGGAAAGGATACGGTATCAACATCAATGGCGAGTACATCACTCACCTTCGATTTGCCGACGATATAGTCCTTATGGCAGAATCGCTGGAGGACCTAAGCACTATGCTCAATGACCTCAATAGTGTTTCCCAACGGATAGGTCTTAAGATGAACATGGACAAAACTAAGATCATGTTTAATGTCCATGTCACACCTATGCCGATAGTTGTTGGGAACACTAAGCTCGAAGTTGTTGACGAGTATGTTTACCTGGGACAAATAGTCCGACTGGGTAAGTCCAACTTCGACCGAGAGGTCAATCGACGGATTCAACTCGGCTGGGCAGCGTTCGGGAAGCTACGACACATCTTCTCGTCAGACATACCTCAAAACCTTAAAACGAAATTGTACAACCAGTGCGTGTTGCCAGTGATGACTTACGGAACTGAGACGTGGTCCTTCACTGCTGGCCGTATGAGGAAGCTCAAGGTCGCTCAGCGAGCTATGGAGAGGGCTATGCTCGGAGTTTCTCTGCGTGATAAACTTAGGAATGAGGATATCCGCAGTAGAACCAGAGTGACCGACATAGCCCAACGGATTAGTAAGCTGAAGTGGCAGTGGGCCGGCCATATAGCTCGAAGAACCGACAACCGATGGGGAAGAAAGGTTCTCGAGTGGCAGCCTCGTACCGGTAGGCGAAGTGTAGGGCGTCCCCCCACGAGATGGAGTGACGACCTGGTAAGACATGCAGGAAGTCGATGGATGCAGGTGGCTCAGGACCGTGTTTTGTGGCATTCTTTGGGGGAGGCCTATGTTCAGCAGTGGACTTGTGAAGGGCTGTAATGATGATGATGAATTGGTTTATTTGTATTTGTTAATCAATAATATTATACGCTTATCCATAATAATATACTACGAAAGGAACTTCGTTCTAACCAAGTGTTCCACAACACTTACGGATTTTTTTTTCTCATACTTACATAAATTATATCTTTCCATCTAGGTTACGCCTGCTTCCTCCTGCAAGAGCGCAGTCGCCTTTACCATTTGCCATAAAATGCTCACTGACCAACTGTGAACCCGTAGCTGGATCATGGACAAGCGACGATGCAATCCTAATACAAAATATAACTGACAAGTAAGTATTAGCCACGTAATGATCTATAAACATTCCACTACAGCGTAGCAGCGGGCACAGGTTTTTTCTGCTTTCAGAGACGACCACTGAGTATATTTTATATACCGTGAAACCTGGCAACTTTGCCATTTTTAGACTTAAAAGTTTAGGACCAATTTTCCAACAAAAAATGTACTGTCACATTGGGCGTCAATGTTAAATGTAACATTATATTCTTCATAGATTTGGTATTTATTAGTGATTTAAATAAATAATAATATTAAATAGATAAAATACTTAATAAAAGAAAATGGCAAAGTTATCCTCACTTTGTGGCAACTTTGCCATCGGAGTTTATAAAGAAAATAATAGGATTTCACTTCAATGTTGAAGGTAAGTTTACCTCATAATATAATACACAATACTTAGAGTTAGGATTTGCTCCTTTAATTGTGTTGTAAATAGCAAAGTTTAATCTTGCGGCAAAGTTGCCCTCCTATTTTTAAATATTTCATACAAACTTGAAGATATGTGTCAGGGTTGTCAAAAATCTTAATTACGTACTTTACTTAAAAAAGTTTTTCAATATTTTCACAACTTTTAAGAGGTATACGGTTTTTTTTTTTAATTAAATTCTCAATAATTATAAATAAATAAACATAAGAATAATTATGAATAATTTTCTTTGCAAACAAAATTTTCATCGTCGCTATCAAGAAATTCATGCGTAAATCCAAGCGATTCAATGGTGATTCGAACTCACTCGCCACAATCAAAACTTTAACAATGTATTTTTCTTCAGATTCGCTTAATCTCTGCGGTACACCAGGCGAAAGCATATGAAGCCTTTTAACTTTATTATCTAATAGATGTTCTCCGCGACTTCGCCCGCGTTTAATTTAGGGTTTTAATTATATTGCTCAGAATCCAAATTATTTTTAACAAATATAAGTAGCCTAAGTTATTCCTTAGAACATCAGCTACCTGGCAGTAAAAGTCCCGTTGAAATTCGTCCAGCAGTTGCGGAGATTAGCCGGAACAAACAGACCGACAGACAGACTGACAAAAATTTCTAACGTTAACTTTCCCGCCAAAAAGTTAAAAAAAATTTAACTTTTTGGCGAAAAGTTACCCCAATTCTGGAAAATAGAAGTCTGGCAAGTTCGACCGATAAAGGAGAGCTTCCAACAGCAGCTCTTGTAACTTGATTTTTACCTTGCCAATTTGACGCAAACGGACCAATATTGTTTGGAGGCTAACGTCGAAAGCTGCTACTAATTCAGCCGTTAATTGCACATCGGCTTCCACAATCGCCTTTAATTCGTTATTGTCGATCAAAGTTTTCGGACGACCACGGCGTTCATTTTTCAAGTCGCAATTTCCGGAACGGAAGCGGGCAAACCAATAACAGCTGGTAAGCGTACGTTGATGTTGCGTGCCGCTTGTGCCGCGTTGCTGTCAATATGGTACTCATATTTCATAATTTTAACGTATCCATTATGACGAAAAAGATTCAAATGCGATGAAAACATAACGCTAATCAATAAACAAATTAACTAATTTTGAAAAACGAATTCCATATTTTTAAATAAAATTAATTTAAAATTATAAATCTTAGCCAAACAAAAGTTATTTTGATTTAAAATGGCCAGTATTGCTGCAGAACGGCAATTTCATAGGTAGACATATGTAATTTACATTCAAAAATCAAAGTATATTTTCCAAATTAAAAGAAACACAATATTAACACGCGAAATAAAGAATAACTTTTTTTACCTTCATCAAGAATTAAAATGCAAAATTGTAGCCCATACTATATGGCAGTTAAGATTTCCAGAAATAAAATGCTAAGTTGCAGCCCACCATACTATATGGCACTTAAAATATGTTTAATAAATTACATCTGAATGTTAGAAATGAAAAAAATGCTTCTATTTAATAAAAAAAAATATTAAAATAATTAATACTAGCTGATACCCGCGACTTCGTCCGCGTGCTTGATATATTAACAAAGTTTTCGTATGTGAAAGAAGAACATCAAAAAGATCGCAAGCAAAAATATACTTTGCTTACAAAATTTCTTTGTAAACGATGTTGTTCGTTGCTGCGTTTGTAGCTAAAATATTTAAATTATCTGAGTTAGTAACGCTAGAGCAAGCGACGTACAGTTGACCGTGTGAAAAACCCCGTATAAAAATCGTTGTTTCTTAAAACTTTAATAACTATATTAAATGAAGATATCGCAATCATTTTTTTAGATAAGGGCCTAATGTCTAAGAAATAAAACTTAGAAAATCTTATTGAACCCATTAGTTTTTCCGTGATGTGCGCACTACTGCAAACCTCATCATTTCATTTATATACACAAAGTTTTTTATACAATTTGGAAAAATATTTACAAAATTAAACTACTCTTCAATAAATCTATGTTCTTCATACTATGTATTCTTTACTTTATTATTACGTAATTTTGATTAGATGTTTAATTATAACTAACGACTTCAATATACTCATGTAAGTCACAGAGTTATTTTAATACTGGAAAAGGGTGGTTAAATTATTTTAAATTAACCCTAAATGTAACAATTAACTTACAATAAATGTTTTGAATTTGAATTTTATTTTGAGTCAAATACAACTAATTGTTGCAGACTAGTAAAAAGATCTAAACACATGAACAGAATCTAGAGATACCTTAATTATTTACGACTTTATAGTTTAAAATCTTTTTAGTTTCCATAAAAAGTTAATATACAGATTGAAAACTCTTTTATTCTACTTTTAAAATTTAAAAATGTAAATGAAAAACACAAAATACGGCGGCAAAATTGTTAGTAATTCGTTACGTCAAAGAAAATTAAAATTTTTCTACTGATATTAATTAATGAAAAGGGTTTACATTGTTTTTTATTTTAATTTAACGTACCGTGCGAATTTAGGAGCCATGTCACGTCGTCATTTGAATCGAAATGAAATGTTACGAGCCGTGGGCATGTTAGAAAAGAGTGCTACTCAACGCGTCGTTGCTGATGCCCTACACACCAGCCAAAACGTTATATCAAGGTTGTGGTCACGTTATCGCAGTACTGGGAATGTGGCTGAATGGCACACGGGTAGACATCGTGTTACTACCCAGATACAGGATCGATTTCTCCAAATGGCCGCTAGAAGACAACCCAAAATCACAGCGATGCAAGTACTACAAAGGCTCCAGGAGGACCGCCAGCTGCTGGTAAGCGACCAAACCGTGCGAAGGAGGTTGTATTAAGTTGGTCTCCATGCTCGAAGACCGCTACGTGTTCCAGCATTGCGACGTGGCTCGGGAACATTTACCATGGAGTGACGAACAATGGTCTTTGGTGCTGTTCACCGATGAGTCCCGATTTGGGTTTCATCCGGATTCACAAAGAACACGCGTTTAGAGAACTCCAGGGATAGTTAGCCATCTACGGCACCCTAAGGAGGTCCACTCATACCAATCATGGTGTCGGAAGGAATTCGTTTTGGCTGACGAACCCAACTCGTGTGGATCCAAGACAGCAATGACTGCACAAAAATACCACGAGGAGGTAGTAGAGCCTGCTATTGTCTCACACAGAATCCAAATGGACCAGAAACTTCTACCCATGCACGATAATGCTCCTTCCCATACGGCGCGGCTGGTGTCGGCCGCTCTTCGACACCACGATATTCAAGTTTTGGCAATCCAAAACTTGAATATGCCAATGCCTGCACTGTCGTCAGACTTAAATCCTATCGAGCACGCCTGAGACATGTTAATACAACGAAAAGTTTTGAGAGATTTCCTGCCAAATTTGACGACGGAACAACAACTTTACGAACACTTTCAAAGAACATGGGACCTCATACCGCAGCACGACATTGACAATTTAATTCTAAGTATGAACAATTGATGTCGATGTGTAATTAATGTAAAAGGCCAGCAAGACATTACAACAAGCAACACTGATTATTAATAATTAGATTTCATAATATTTTTTCAATGTTAATTAAAATTAATAGTTTTATAAGAAGCAATGAATTTTTTTTTATCATACTAATTTTCTACGCGATTAAAAAAAAACTATTTTATTTAAAACAAAAAATAACGAAATGATTTTTATTTTTTATTAAAGACCTTAAAATAACTTATCATTCTTCCATTTACGACAGAAAATTCTTTATAGATTTTTAGATATTTGATGAAATATAAAATATCCCTAGATTCTGCTGGTGTTTAGTTCTTTAAAGGATATTAATTAGAATGAATGGGTGATTGTAATTATTACATTATTATATCAAATCGTCTACAAATGACAAACAGATACATAAGTTATTTATTCACTATTGGACTATTTACGGCTTCATAATAATGCTGATCTTAATGTGTGTTTCTTAAACGCAGTAAGCAGGCGGTGATACATATCCACCGTATTCGCTCGACGTCCAACTACAGCGTTAGCATAGAGTGTGATGTTACGACGTACGACGGCGGTGTTAGTCTAGCGCACGCTCTAGTGTTTCATGGACGGGCTCGTATGCCTAACTCCAAACTGCCGGTAAGAGTGATAATAATCCATTTATTAATTCATTACAGTCCATCCTGCATCCACTGCTGACCAAAGGCCTCCCCATAGATTACCTTATAAAGGGATATTTGCCATACTTGCTAGCTTTTGCTGCTGCTGCCCATCACATGTATCAGTTTCCTTCTGTTTTATTTTCTGTCTATTTTAACTAATGTTTTTTCATTAAATATTGTACTTACGAGGGTGGATTGAAAAGTACTCGGCCTAACCAAGAAAATAAACAAATACTAAATCAGTTATATTTTTATTTTTCTACATAATCACCATCAAGTTCAATACACTTTTGCCACCTCCCCTTCCACGCATTTAGACCGTTGAAAAAAATGATTCTTCCTTAGAGTCAAAATATGCGTCTACAGCTGCTTTGACCTCGTCGTTTGTCGAAAATCTTTGACCTCCCAAGTGCTTTTTTAGGTTAGGGAACAGAAAGAAGTCTGATGGTGCCAGATCAGGTGAATACGGCGGATGCGGTAACAGTTCAAAGCCACAGTTGTGAATTTCAGCCATTGACTGTACTGACGTGTGAACACGGGCGTTATCTTGATGAAACAGGACTTTTCTTCTGAGCATTCCTCGACGTTTTTCTTTTATTTCCTCTCGTAAACGACGTAGTAAGGTGCAGTAGTAATCAGAGTTTATATTCTGACCCCTTTCAAGATAATCAATCATAATCACACCTTTCGAGTCCCAGAATACTGAAGCCATCACCTTATTTGCCGACAAAATCGACTTAGCCTTTTTAGGGGGTGGTGAACCAGGTCTTCTCCACTGTTTTGATTGTTGTTTTGTTTCCGGTGTACAGTAATGAACCCATGTTTCGTCCATAGTAACAAAACGATTCAAAAAATCATCTGCATCGGCTTCAAATAACTCTAAACAGTCGCGTGAAATAGTCAATCGCGTCCTTTTTTGTTCAACTGAAAGCAGTCGCGGAACCCACCTCGCAGACACCTTGTGGAAACCCAACTCGTTGACAATGATGTTTTGAGTTCGTTCATAAGAGATGCCTATAATCTCGGCTATCTCTCTAATTTTTAATCTGCGGTCTCCCATTATTAAATCAAGTACTTTTTTAATATTTTCGTCAGTAGTTGACGTCGAAGGCCTTCCAGAGCGGGGTTCATCTTTCACACTCTCTCTACCACGCTTAAATTCTGCTATCCATTTTTTGACGGATGAATATGACAGAGCACAATCGCCTAATGTACTAACCATGTCATCATGGATGGCTTTTGATGATAGCCCCTTCTTATGGAGGTACTTAATGACGGCACGCTGCTCGATTTGCTCCATTCGCGGAAATTATGTCCGATTACTTTGTTAATAAATTTATAAAATCACAACTAATTATCGCACACGTTTCGAACTTCACACAATGAACTACTCTGAACTGAACTAAATAATGTGGGTAGATTTGATTTTTAGAATTGAATGGATCTGTGTTAGGTCGAGTACTTTTCAATCCACCTTATAAAGAATGGTGAAATATATTTCATAGCTTAATTGATAGTTACGATGATTAATGTAAGTGTAAAGTGTCGTAAGCGACGACTATTGGATGAACCAAAAATACCTTATGGCTTCTTACAATCACTTTGACGCCAGGTGTAAAATAGCCAGACTGGTGGCGGGAAGCAACATTAAAGATACAATACATGTGGTTCTGGTATCGTCTACCCGCCTGCCAAGCGTGACGACTGGGATAATTTCTCCCTTCAATGGGGAAGGTCTTTCGCGAGTTGGTGGGGATATAATTTATTAGTGCAATAAGTGCAATCCATGTCCTTTTCTTTCAGGATAAGGGTAACAAACGAGCACACAGTCCACCTGATGGTAAGTGGTTGCTGCGACCCATAGACATCTACATCTATCCTCGATTACGAATGAAAATGCAGATGCGTTGTCACCGGTGAGGACTAAGATGGAATGCCTCGTTTCCAGTAAAAAGGGTCTACGGATATCTACACTCACCATACGAAACACAGCAGCTTTAAGCTGCTATTTTACGCTGGTATTCTGTGAGAGCGTGGTCCTTCCCCGATCGAGCCGACCTATTCGTGCTACAACTATACCAGTAATATAGCTGCAGCGTGGCTCTACCACGTACAGTTGAACCACCACCACTAAACCACTACCACGTGAAGTCGAAGTTGAAATGCCTCACATCCTACAATTATACTAGCTCTCTTACATCTAAGAAAAGATAACGCAAACAACTAGTAAAGTGGCCCATATTCTCCTACTCCACTAGGCAACATCATTGTTACCAATTATAAATAATAAAATATAAAAAAGGAAAACCTTGTGTATGTGTGTTCAAATTAAACCTAATTAAACATTAATAATTTTTTTTTCTTTGTTTAGTATCCAAAGTTAATAAGTGCTATAGAGAAACCCAAGTTGTTTATAAGCAATAATGATTTCAAACCCAAAACTGTGGAAGAAGTCTACATAACTCACATAGTGAGCCCAGATGTCTTCTATGTGAGAAAGGTACATTATAAATTCTTTTATATCTTTTATTTTCTCTTTCAAGTCATTCACGGTTACCCCTAGAACTTCAAGAACCTACATATCCTGTAAAACATCATAAATGTGTATTTTCATAAAAAACTCTTTATTATTAGCTTTTAATTTTTTAGAAGTGGCTAAAGTAATGATGCTAATAAAAAAATTGTTTAAAACGAAATAAATATCTTGCAATCTGACAAGATAGCATCATCATCTACGCTTAGGCGGGTGGTACTAAAGTTTATTCATAATATTTCGAATTTACAAGGCTGCCAATCGTCCCACATATAAAGTTAAGTTTTTCTATTATAAATTAGTGCTTGACTACTAACCATTCTACTGCATAACCATAATAGCAAGGACATTGCCGCCTTCATGTAACTAAAATCGATATACATAATCTATATTTTTATTTATTTAAGCTTTATTGAACCTCACATAAATACGGGATCAAAAAGCGGATTTAATGTTAAAAACAGGCTTTGCCAGTCAACCTTGGGGCAGTGATAAAACTACGAAGGCGGTTACAAGTAACATAAATATAAGGTCGAAGTTTCACCGTATTTTATATACAAATTCAAGACATTTAAGTCAAATTTTAATTACATTTGTGCCATTTTGTTCGATAACTTGTTGCCATCTTGTAGGTACATAATCCCGTTGCTGTAGAAATCTTGGAATTTTAGATTAAAAAATGCGGGAAGTAGTTTTGACAGTCCCCTTTTGATGTTCGGTTTAAAGATCTTTATTTACTCATTAAGACAAATACATGTCACTTACATGGGTACATTATACAATTTTAAATAAGTCACACAGAACAAAATAATAACAAAAAGAAAGTGAACATAAATTAGGGTAGATTAAAATTAAATATAAATATAAGTAGCAAGTTAGCTGCGTAGAAGCAATGTTTTAAGTACTGACTATATAAGGCGGTGGTCCAAGTTATAAAATGTCTTGGTTTTTAATGTAGTCTAATAGTTTTTTTTTTTTTGAATATATTGAGCGAACTTGCATCTTTTATATTTGAAGGGAGTTTATTATACATCTGTGCTCCTGCAAATGTTAGGGCATTTCTTCCAAAGTTCGTGCGAATATTTGGTAATATAAGACGATTTGCGCGGCGTGATGAGTATTTTAGTGTTTTTCCTTTTGTGGTGAACGTTATATTTGAATGGATCATATTACGCGTGATTTTATATATTAATATACAAGTGTTAAAGATGTATAATTGTTTAATGTTTAAGAATTTTGTTTCATGTTATATTTTTTTAATCGATGTTAAAAAGTCGTAATGATATAAAATTTTAATTTATTTATTTTGCAGTACTTGTAGCTTTTGGAGATAAGTTTTGCCTGCTGTACCCCATATCTATATTAAGTAAAGTAAGTGTGGTTTTACCAACGCGTTATAGATCATAGGGCGAGCTTTTGCTGGTATACATCGAGCCATAGCCATATTAGAGATGAAAGCTTATTTTTTATAACTGATAAATGACCATTCCATGACAGATGTTTATCAAGAAATAGTCCAAGGTATTTTTCTTGATTAGATTGGCGTAGCATTTCTCCATTTATGTGTAATTTTGTGTGGTGTTGGATTTTTTTGTTTTTTGCACTAAATACTACGTAAGATGTTTTGGCGGTATTTATTGTTAATAGGATGTACTGAAACGATCTGTGTAGTGTGTCAAGATCTTGTTGAGCAAGCAAAGTAAGGTCATCTATATTTTGTCCAAAGTAGAACAAACATGTGTCGTCTGCATACAAAGTGAGATGGCCGTGTAACCCTACTTCACAAATATTGTTGACATACACTAAGAACAATAGCGGACCAAGAATTGAACCTTGTGGTACTCCACAGTTTATAGGTAGGGGACTGCTTTGATAATTTCCAATCCTTACAACCTGGTATCTATTTTCAAGGTAAGATTTTAACATCTTGAGTGCCGTGTCTGTCACACCAATACTTTCTAACTATTTTAGAAGCAACGAGTGACTCACTGTGTCAAAGGCCTTTTTTAAGTCAATGAACACACCCAGTGCTAGCTGTTTTTGGTCTATTTTAGTTTTTATTTTAGTAGTTAAGTCAATAGCTGCACTGAGAGTACTCGATTTTGAACGGAAGCCATATTGTTGATCACACAAAAAATTTATTTCAGTTAAGTGGTCATTCAGTCGTTTGTAAATTACTTTCTCCAGGATTTTTGAAAGCACTGGCAAAAGTGAGACAGACCGATAGTTTCCTGGATCCATTTTTATACCAGATTTATAGATCGGATTGATCTTAGCTACTTTAAGACTATCTGGGAATATACCTTGTACCAGTAATTTATTAAGACAGCCAGTGAGATTGGAAATAATTAGATTTTTTACACACTTTATGGATTTTGTACTAATGGAGTCAATCCCTGTGCTAGTGTTAGTTTCCAGACCATCGACAATATTAGCTATCTATGTTAACCTAACGCTACCCAAATAATTCTAAAGAGATTGAAACAGGTGAAAATCTTAGGGTGCAACGTCAGGACTAGGGAATGCAATTCCGCAAGATAATTTCAATCCAGGTATTTGCTGGATTGAACAATCTTAGTCCCGCTGGATCCAGGTATTTGATGGATCCAGCAGGGTGGAACTAGACCTCTGAAATCTAAATTAAAGACTTCGTTTCCATGGTTTTAATTTGAAGCCAAATAAAACAAGCCTTTTGGTATATTTTAAATGGTTTATTTATTACTTTAGACATACAGATGATGACATAAATTGCAGTGATAATTAAACATTATTTTGGAAGTAGCTTCTTAAAAAAGTTAAAGTATTAATTGTGTCATCTGCTAAACAGCTTCTGATATTGCACACAAGGTAGCCAGCAGCTGAAAAAGCCCGCTCAGCTTCCACGCTGGTTGGTACAATAGTCATAAGTGCGTTATAGGCGAACTGAAGGTAAGTGCCTTTTAATCCACCCGACTCGAAATAGTTCATTTCCTTCTTTATCAAAACCTCAAGGTTACTCATACTTCCAGACCTAGGTGGCTGGGCTGTTGAGCCAGGACTTTTAATACTAGTCAAAGTCAGTTCGAGTTCGTTTTCAAGTGACATTGGTGCTGCGGCTGCCGTTTGCGTCTCGAGATTAGAGAGAGGGATGTCGTCATAAGGATCATCAACAGGAGTAGTGGTTACTGCATTGCTTCCTGTGTACTCTAGCCTTTCTACTATATTTTTGATGGCCTTGCGTATTACACTCTTTGGAGGTAGATTGAATGTTTCATCATAAATAAATTGACTTTTGTCTTCTTCGTACTTATGTGGATCATGTAAGTATAATAAAACCGCTGTCAAGTCATTTCGCCGCTCTGAGATACGTTTCCTCAACGAATCAACAAGTTTTCGGGCTAACGGTTTATTAATATTTATCAGTTTGCTAATAATAAATCTCAAAGTAGTTTCCGCAGTAATCAAATTAGACTCACGTCTACACAAAACTTCGACTGCTAATTTTACCGGCTGTAATATTCGTTCTAGATCCATTAGCACATCATATTCCTGTTCAGTGAAAACGTAGTCATGATTTGCACCAAGACCTAAGTCAATCAGGGTTTTCGATACGCACGATCTTATTTTGTTGAATATTGTTATCATTTCGCACAGGCTTGACCACCTTGTTTGACAATCCAACAATAAAGCAATATTTTTTCCCATGTCTTTTGTCATATGCGTCTGCAGCAGATCGTTTTTAGTAGGCGAATTTTTAAATAGTTTTACTACTTTTCGTACCTTCTTAACAACTTCTGCATATTCCAGTCAGGTTTATTTCACTTGTAGGTGTAGGAAAAGACAAATCAAAAATGTCATTTTCGTCATTTTCCAAGTCATTGTCACAATTCTCATCAGCTCTTTCACTAACTGTCTCATTTCGCACTGACATTTCTTCATTTGATGCTTCGTGGCCACTACGTGAAGATGTATTTTGTTTATAAATAACATCCAAAACAGCCAATTGGATGCCATGTGCATAACAGAGTTGTTGATGGGGTTTGATGAGTTTCCCAACTTTTACTATGACTTTGGCACCATCTGTGGTAATACAGATTACATCCTTATCTAAAGATAGCTCGTATTTTGATAATTTTTCTTTTAAAACAGTGATACATGTTTCTGCAGGTAGACTTCCGTAAATCCGCACCAGCCCTAAGTTCCAAGAAATAGATTTTTCATTAGCCAAGGCGTGAACATTAACGTTTAAATAGCGCCTATTTCTCGTTGAAGTCCATTCGTCGAATGTGAGGGTGAATCTGTGGTTGCTCTCTTTCAGCTTTAGGAGATCTCGAATAATGGTAATTTTTACAGTCGTGCCGAAATGCATAACCATTAATTTGATAGAATTAGGCGATTTTGGTAACTTATAGCCTCCGGCTTTAAAAAGGTCTCGTAAATCCGACGAGGTGCAGAAAACCCGGAATGGAAAACCATCTTTTGACACCATGCGTGATACCCTCGTTTCTACAGCACTGTTTGCACTTGGAAAATGGTCAGTGATTTTGTGCTTCTTTGCCGAGGTTGATGGTTGAGCTTCACAATGAGTCGATGTCGAGGAACTGGACGTTGACGCAGTTGCAGAAGCTGCAGCACTTCCGCTCCCGTCTGATGCGCTTTCCTTGTCAATTTTGTGTTTTGACTTTAGATGCACATGTAAACCTTTTGTCGAACGTCCGGTCGTTTTAATTATTGATTTACACAACTTACATTTTGCGGTTTGTGAATCTTCGGCTTTCAAAAAGTACTTCCATACAGGAATAATACCACAAAAGTCTTTATACACTTTTTCCGACATTATTGTCATTCATTAAATAATACAAAACCTGGAAATTTCTCAGTTTATTCAGATTTATCTAAAGAAATCAATATTCTATGAAAAAATCACTGCGTAACGTCATAATCACCAGTTGTAACTGGCAAAATATTAATTACACAAACAAAGGCGG